ACTGCGTGGACGCACAAATATACGCATGATCTTTGACATGTACATCTTTGAGACCACAAAAATGTGCAGATGGACGGATGCAGCGTAAACACAGTGTTAAGCACAATTCCTACAACCGGGCTTTTCAGTTGTACAGCGCACAATTCTTACAAACAGCTGTGAAAACAATACGTTTACAGTGATCAACCCCAGTTTCCCCGACTTTCACAGAAAAAAAAACAACAGAAGCCCATGCGGTGGGCTCTGCGCGGCCAGCCGGCAGGGTCGCAGCTGCCCCCATCTTGCGGCGCGTCACCGATCCGTGCGTGCGAGGCCAGCCGGTAGGGTCGTAGCTGCCCCCGCCGTCTGGCGTATCACCGATCCGTGCGTGCGAGGCCAGCCGGCAGGGTCGTAGCTGCCCCCTCCGTCTGCCGTATCACCGATCCGTGCGTGTGAGGCCAGCCGGCAGGGTCGTAGCTGCCCCCGCCGTCTGGCGTATCACCGATCCGTGCGTGTGAGGCCAGCCGGCAGGGTCGTAGCTGCCCCCTCCGTCTGGCGTATCACCGATCCGTGCGTGCGAGGCCAGCCTGCAGGGTCGTAGCTGCCCCCTCCGTCTGGCGTGTCACCGATCCATGCGTGTGAGGCCAGTCGGCAGGGTCGTAGCTGCCCCCGCCGTCTGGCGTATCACCGATCCATGCGTGCGAGGCCAGCCGGCAGGGTCGCAACTGCCTCCGCCGTCTGGCGCGTCGCCGATCTGTGCGTGCGAGGCCAGTGGGTGATGTCATGAGCTTGGCAGCCACCCGCCCAGCCAGCGGTGGGGCCCGGACGGGGGGGGGGGGGGGGAGGGGTTGTGCGGCCGGCCGAAGGTGCGCACCAACCGCCGGCGGTCTGGGGGCCGCGGCGGGGCCCGCGTGGGCTCGCTCCCCCGGCTAGGGGCGGGGCTGCGGGCGGACGCGCGCCCCACGGCACGGCCGGACACCAGCCGGTCGGGTGGGAATCGTGACATGCGACGCGAAATCGAGCGTCATTTGCCCGTTCATCAACCGGTCCCGGCTGGCGGCGGCCGCGGCGCGCCGCCGCTTTCAACATGGCGGCTGGCGGGGACCGCGTGAGACAGGTGGCGAAACACGCCGGCCAATGGCGCACCCAGGCGCCGGCGAGATCGAGAAGGGTCGCGCGGCGGACAACGGGCTGCGCTGACCTGCGGAACGCGGCTTGATGTAGTGGTGGTCGTGCTGAACGGTTGGAGCCGGTGGCGCGGCGCCCCCACCCCGGCCGTGCGCGGCGGCGGCAGCCGGCGGGGTCTGCTGGTCGCGCCCTGCCCCTGCCTGCGCGGGGCCGCGCGGGGGGCTGTGTCAGGCCTGCTGGGGCCGGGCTCTCCGTGTGGAGCGCCCTTGCCAATGTCAGACTCAGGTTGAGAAGGGCGGTGTGACACGGCAATAGACGTAGCAATTACTCAGAAGGCGAACGGGGCGAACGCGAATTTTAAAGTCGATCGATCCTTTCATACATCGACATGGGGAAATCGTGCAGCACTTTCAAAGGGGGAGGGACATGGCCTCCCTGCCCCCCTCCCCTGCCCCCTGTTCCCAAGCACATGACGGCGAGCGCTCGGCCCTGCGGAAAGGAAGGGAAGCTTGTGCTCATGTTTGCGGATAGGGGAGAGAAGCTGGTGCTCAGCCCTGCGGTAGGAAAGAGAAGCTCTACGGTAGGGGAGAGAAGTTGGTGCTCAGTTCCGGTGGCATAAAGGCGTGGTCAAGGAATCGTTTTTCATATTTGATTTCTTCGCAAGGCCTGCTCGCCACGTTACACAGTTGCTGTTCTCCGTAGTCGTAGATTGGTAGAGCGGTATACGAGTCATAAAACGCCATGGCATGGCACGAACTAGACAACTATGCAACAGTTATGTAACCAACCGAACGTGCACCCTAAAAATGGGATCAGAAACGTCTTATTATGATGCGTTCCAAAGATTTCAGGCGTACTGAAATGACGTCAGAAGATTGACATATGCGGTTAAAGAGACACAAGAGAAGGTCTTCACTTGAAAAGACGTCCGAAGATTCACATTAGCTGTTAAAGAGACGTAAGAGGAGATCTTAACGTGTTTTGATAGGTCTTGAAGTGGCACAAAATGTGTTTTGAAAGTTCGTCAAGGCATCTGATGGTTTTCTGACGACTTCTGGTATTATACGACTTCGACCTTGTTTGGTTTCGGAACCGATATGGCGCACTCTCTGGACGGTCACATGGACGGCGGGCGGGAGGCGCGAGATCGTGGGGCGGAGGGTTGGACCCCCTCAGTAGTTCAGGCAACTGGGTCCCCGAACTGTTTACCTCTTAAGTGCGCTGAAGGTACAAAAGTGGAAATACACACAAGCTGTTTGTCAGCACTTGGAAATTATGAAATCAAATTTGTCGACATTTGGTGACAGCTTGCGTTTGACACATGGATTATAATATTCCCCAGACTCCAGCCCCTAATCACGGCAGAGTTCTCGCCCCCATGCACGAGAGCTTACGACCTGAGATATGCTTATCGCTTGTATCTATCGCGGCAACGGAATCCACAGCGTGATACAGCATGGCAAGACGTGTTGGCATCGAGTCCATCGGAAACCCGTGTACCGAAGCATAGACATTTATGATCTATTCCGTAGTTGGTCCGGATTCAGAAACCGGATGCATCAACTGCGTCCGTAACACGAGCTGCCTACCACATTATAGTATGGTGTAGGTTTTCTGCATATGTCGTGGTGCTTCTGTACGTAATGTAGGGTAAGGCTTATAGTTTCATACCTATTCCTTGGCAACCGGGTACCACCGGACGTTTGTGTGTCTGCGCACTGACGTGGTTTCCGTAGGATCCATTGTTGCCTGCCATGTGTGCCAGGCTTATAGTGTTCATTTATACCAATCTTGGTTGCGTGAATGATCGCATTCTTTCCTGATAGTGATACTCCAAACCTTGTTGAGATATGGCATAGTCGAGCGACGTTTGTCCGTCGAACAGCCATTTTGCGAACGTCCGTGACAGTGAACGGATTGCTATTTTGTATCACCACCGAAATGTGGTTTCAAACAGGGTCGATGCGTAACATTTGATCAGCAAACAACTGTTTCGTCACGACTCCTGGATATTTCGTGTTCACCCACGCTGTGTGATTTGCGACGGCTCTGATGTTTCTAAGACGTCCCTTTGTGGAATGGCGATCACGTACGACGTAATTCATAGGCACCGGCTACAATACTTCGTTGTTTTTTTGACATGTTTGAAATGTTTCAAAATTGGATACATTTCGACATGCCCAACACGTGCCACAAACTTGAACAAACAAGTTTGTGAAAGTCCGAAAAACAAGTCGCCTCTTTGGTGATACAGACACTGGTTTACTGATCATCTGATGTACGTGCATCATATGCCTGTGTTCATTCGAGAAGGTTTCGTGGAAGAAGTTTCCAAATGCAGCCAAACATACCTAATGTGTGAATTTAGGGGTGCATGCAGAAGTTCACAAGTTGAGGGCAAGACACCAAATTTGTCACTGAAAGCCCAGGTGTGTGTGCCAGAGGCGCGCGATCTTTCTTGCATGTCGCAAAACAACATCGCACGTTTTTGATCGGTTCAGTTTGACGTATCTGTCTTACATTTATAATGGTCGACCTTCATTCACGCACATATTTACATGTAATGAATTTGGCAAGGGTGATTGGTGCATACCCTCGGGGGCCACTGCGTGCGCACGCCCAGTGTGAGTGCGGTATGCGCGAAATTTGTAGCAAGACAACATTTCACTGGTAAGCTGTTAGCAGCCGTCGTGTTCAAATGTCTCAGCATGCTCCAGCTATGACAAAGGCGTGGACATCCACCGATCGCCTGACGGATGGGCGCGGCGTCACAGTTCATCAGTCAACAACGATGATGATGCATGAATGCCGTAACAGCATCAAATGTGGCAATTTGCAAGTGCGAATATGAACAAAAACGATGTGAACATGTCTTTGGATGCTTGGTTAACAGGCTCCTACTTGGTACTCTGGGGCTTGTATTCGACCGCGGCCGTTACGCCTAGCCAAGCTGGGCGGAACTGTCCTTGCAGACCCGAAGATCTTGTACTTTCCTTGTGGTCTGCTTTAAATTTACGTATTTGAACTATTGTAAGCTTTTCTAGTTCCTGTTTCTTGCATGAAAACGAAGACCACACGAATGACGCGACTGATCTGGAATTTCGCTCCCGCGAGACGCGTCACGCGTAACGTAGCGTTCTCGTGATCCCACGATTGATGCTTCAAATATGGAACTAACGACCTGGGTACCGATGACGCCCGTGCTGTTCACGGCTTGAACCGAGTAGTCTTCTGTGACGGAAGAGCTCTTCGATGGTCCCGTCGTCGCTCCTATTTTGGAATGTCTGTAGTGGTGCTGTCGTAAGCGCAGCATGCCCGGGCCGGAGGTAACCGGTTAGGTCAGGTCAGATAGCGTCTCCGACGCCGACGGCCTCCTGGCGCGCTGCAGAGCCCGGTGTTATTCGGATCGGGTTCTAGCTCCGCTGCGCTATCCCGCAGACCCTGCTAGTGGTGGCGTCAGGTCACACTGCACCCCTAGCTCCTAACGCCGCCTGATGGTGGCGTCAGGTCACACTGCACCCCTAGCTCCTAACGCCGCCGTTCCGCCCCACAGGATACAGGAGCTACAGTCGTTCGACAAGATTTTCCCGTCACTGGCGGTGATCCGCGGCCAGCAGCTGTTCAACAACTTCGCCCTGGTCGTCTATGAGAACTACCACCTGGTGGACCTCGGCCTGGCGGCGCTGCGGCGTATCATGCGCGGCACCGTGCGCGTCGAGAAGAACCCGGTGCTCTGTTACTTGCGCACTGTCAGCTGGGAGCACCTGACGAACCGCACCGACGCCATCATCCAGGTATGACTACGCCGCCTGGAGGCCGTGCTCGCTCGCGGCTGGAATGGGAGTCGTGGCCTTGACTTTGGCCGCAGATGGGGCTATATGGTGGTATCTGTGACGGTCTGTGACGTCTGTGGTATTGAGCGGAACGCGGCTCCGAAGAGACTGCCTTTGGTACACTTTTAACACTAAATTCTGCTGTCAACTGAAGCGGCTTCATGGGTTCCCCAAGAGGGTTTTTCACACATGGCCTGCGCTGGATGGTTCCTAGGACATAAGCCAATGGGGACCATATCTGTGATGTTGTTGGTTTGGGTTTGGAGTGAATTGGGAGCGCCATGACGGTTAACTGTTTGCTAACCGTGATCGCTGCCGCTTTCCGCTCGCTCGTCCTCCGATGAGTTAGGTTTAAAGGGTGCACCAACTAAGTGGCTACACGGCGCCCCAGCGCGCACTCGGTGTGAGTGTGATCACGGCTCGACTGTGGTGTAGGACTGGCCCCTGGTCGCAAGGTTGGGTTTTCGCAAATCGCAATCAATAAATGAACAAGAGCTGACTGTTCAGGAACATGACGTGTTTGCGAGCAGCTGACTGGCCGGCGACGAAGTCGCAACGCCCACAAAGGAACAGCGACCAGTGAACTGATGATGCGCTGTTGGTGAACAGCCAGCGGCGCCTGGTCAGTGGGCGTGTGCCTTTTGGCGATGGCATCTCACAGGCGGCCGTCACTGCCCTCCGCTGCCGCCTCTCTGACCGCGTCACCGTGACCGCAGGACAACCAGGAGCCGAGTATCGACCCGGCCGACGAGGGCTCGTGCCCGTCGCGCGACTGCCCCAGAAACTGCAATAGCTTCTCCCGGCTGGGCCAAACGCGCCGCGCCTGCTGGAACGCCCAGCACTGCCAGACGCTGCAGCCCACTCGGGGTGAGCCGCGCCGCTGCTCCGGCCGGCGCCCGCACGCGCCGGGGACGGCGACGGTGGCGGCGCCGGGGGCGGCGGCCTCCGTGTCGCCCTCTTGCGTCAGTCGTCGCCGCGCCAGTGGTGTGATGTCATGCTTCCGGCGGTGCACTCCGAGTTTGCCCGTGCTTTTGGCTTCGACGAAACGCGCACTGGCGGTGTGATATTCAGTCACAGTATGGCGGCATGTTCCAGGCTTGCTGCTCCCTATTCCTGTAAATCCAGTTCCGTTATGAATGCAGGTGTTGACGTGACATAAGCTGTGGGGATCTAAATGTGCGGGTATGTCAGGTAATCTGGAAGGCGGCACGTTATTCGTCTGAAGCCCCCAAACTACTGGCCGCGTGCTGGTCCTGTTGTTTCATTTTACATGAGCACTTGAGAGTTCAAACATGGAAAGCCTTACACAGCTCACGCCAGTATTTTCGCATTATCTGACGTTTGCGTTTCCTTCAGTCAAATATAGGTATTTTATCACTGTATTCTTACTTCAGTGACGCCTAGCTCCACAATGTGTCGTCTTACAATATGAAGCGGGTGATGTTATCGCACTCGTGATTCACGCTGTGAGTTGTACACCAGACCCGGTTTGTCCCGCGCCTTTGGCGACAGTCGCCGTATCGGAATGCCATGTACCACCAGGGCACACAAACAGTGCCAACGACGCTTGTGTACCGTATTTCTGGTAAGACTGACGGCTGTCAGTGATTTTCTCAGCGTCTGTTATTTGTCAGTAATGGGGGTCCATCCCGAGACGTGCTCCCAGTCTACAGGCCCATTGTCAGGGAGGCGCGCCGTCGCCACGCGTGCGGCTGCAGTCCCGCCCCGGCCGGCGGCGGTGCGCCGCGCCGCGTCGCCGTCCGGCGACCCCTGACCGGTGCCCCTCCGGCAGGCTGCCACAGCGAGTGCGAGGCGGGCTGCACGCAGTTCAACTCGGACCGGCACTGCGTCGCCTGCAAGCACGTTGACTTCGACGGCCGGTGCATGGCCCGCTGCCCCGCCAACCAGTACCTGGTGAGAGGTTCCGCCGCTCGGCGACGCAGGGGAGGGGTGGGGAGCGCCCGCCGGCGACAGCAGGATCGGTCATCGCCGGGCGAACCCTGGTGGCCGGATGGTGCGGGTAGTGCGCTGCTGCTGGGCAAGAGTGGGCGAGGCTGGTGAAGTGTCCAGACTGGGGCCGAGGTGGTGATTGTGGCTCCCGCAATGCGAGCCGGCCGTGCCGGAGCGGCCGACGCCGGTCCCAGCGTCGCGACCGTAACGCCCGCCGGTCTGTGGCAGTACGAGGGCTGGCGTTGCATCAGCAAGGCCGAGTGCATCGTCCTGGAGACGCACGACGAGACCAGCTTCAAGGCGCACAACGGCTCGTGCCTGCCGAACTGCCCGACTGGCTTCAAGCCCTCCGACAGGCGGGGCGAGTGTGTGCCGTGCATTGGTGAGTCAAGTCCCCGAGTGTGTGGCGTGCATTGGTGAGTCGAGTCCCCGAGTGTGTGCCGTGCATTGGTGAGTCAAGTCCCCGAGTGTGTGTCGTGCATTGGTGAGTCGAGTCCTCGAGTGCGGGCGGCCGCGATTAATGGAAAGCAAAACAGCGTAAGCATGCATGATTAGATTTAACACCCGCGGATAAGATCTAGCTTTACCGGCCGCGATCGTTGAGTAATGTGTTCGGCGGTGGCCAGCAGCGCTTGTCAGGGGACGTAAACCAGTGTGTGCCGACGCGTTGGGGACCGAACTGAAATCTCATACATAAGGCAAGACGACGTCCATACTAAATGCTGGTAAAGTTTGTTTCTAGCTCAATCAGCAGGAAAATATAAAATTTCAAACGTGCTGTAAATAGCAGTAATGCGCGATCAGGCGCCGGCTACGGTCCGGAGAAAAAACAGTTCAGAGCACTTGACGAGGAAAAAATGGTGTCATTCGTGAGGATTGTAGCTCGAATCGGCTTGGCTCGGCGCTCGCCGATGTGCTACATTGGCGACGCGCTGCGACGACGGGCGCTCACGCCCTGTCGCTGTCCACAGGTCCGTGTCCCAAGAAGTGCAAGGGCAAGATGCTGGACTCGGCGGCGCGCGTGCAGTCGATGAAGGGGTGCACCATCATCGACGGGCCGCTGCGGATCCAGGTGTCGGGAGGTGAGTGGACGCGCCGGCTCCTGGGCCGCTGCTCGCTGACGCTGGGTGGGCGCACTGAGTGGCCAGGCGTGTGCAGACCAGCTGGTCCGTTCGGGAAGACGCCTGCAGACTGGTCCGCTCGGTGTGGCGTCTGCAGACCAGCTGGTCCGTTCGGGAAGACACCTGCAGACTGGTCCGCTCGGTGTGGCGTCTGAAGGCCAGCTGGTCCGCTCGGGGAGACGCCTGCAGGCCAGCTGGTGTGAGCAGATGCTCGAGCTTGTCCGACGGTCGGGGTGCGATGCAACGTCGTGTGCGGTTGTCGTTGATGATAATAGTGATGACGACGACGACGACGACTATGATGATCGTGATTGTGATTATGATGATGATGATTATTATTCTGATGATGATGATGATGGAATGGACGAAAGGGGCGGTATGTCCTTGCTTTGGTCTGTTTCTGTTTTGTTTCATTGCTTCAGATGGCTTTTTTGTTGACTTAGCATCCATTACACTGTAATGTTGCGGCATGCCGGGCAGTATTTAAGGCTCTGAATTTGAAGAATAGACTGTTGAGCCGGAACGCTTATTATTTTCCCTTTCCCAGAGAACATTGTCCAAGAGCTGGAGGAAAACCTTTCTGAAATCACGGAGATTACTGGGTTCTTGCGAGTGAGCCTCTCAGAAGCGCTAATTTCACTAAACTTCCTGAAGAATCTGAGACTCATCCGCGGCGAAGTGCGGGAGTCAGAGTAAGTCTTGGTCGCACCCGTCGGTCAAAGTTTGTAGTTCGCTCGCTCGTCGCAGCGATAGTAATCAGTGACAGGAAGCTCATCAGACGCGTCATCCTTCCAGGTATGCTCGATTCCGGTGATGCGAATGGCGCGATTTCGCCTTGCTTTGTTGCATTTTGAGCGTCCGTGCGGCTTGCCAGCGCGGGCACGCCCCCACTAGTATTGTGTGCCAAGCTCCACCCGTCAATAACACCGTCTTGATATCCAGCGGCAGATACGCGATGTACTTCCTGCACAACCACAACCTGCAGTCGCTGTGGCCAAACACGACCAACCTGACGGTGCTGAAGGGTGGTGCGTTCTTCCACTTCAACCACCACCTTTGCCTGGAGAAGATCAACTCACTGCTGCAGCGGCTCAACATCACGGCCCGACGTGACATCGACGTCGGCCAGATGACCAATGGAGACAAAGTGCCCTGTGAGTGCTGACGCTGGTACTTCTGGCGCTAGCTGTTGGCGGCGGCCAGATGCTCACTTGGCCCTCTGCTCTCCGCCGTCTGCCGGGTACATCGGCCAGGTCCCCCACTAGCCCTCTGCCCTCCACCGTCTGCCCGGTTCATCGGCCAGGCCCCCCTCTGGGCTCTCTGGTCTCCACCGTCTGCCCGGTTCATCGGCCAGGTCCCCCACTGGGCGGGTCTGGTCTCAACCGTCTGCCCGGTTCATCGGCCAGGTCCCCCACTGGGCGAGTCTGGTCTCAACCGTCTGCCCGGTTCATCGGCCAGGTCCCCCTCTGGGCTCTCTGCTCTTTGCCGTCTGAGCAGTTCATCGGCCAGGTCCCCCACTGGGCGAGTCTGGACCCCTTCATTCGGTCATGTGTCATTCATCATTTTGCCGTGAACATCATCAGGTGACAAGTTGTCGGCAGCCCACCTGAACCCCCCCCCCCCCCCGTCGGACCTGAACTAGGCCGTGAGTGGGACGCGCCACCCCTGACGCGGCGCGCCTGTCCCGCTTCAGGCCGGCGCCAGCTGCTCTCAGTTAAGGTGACGGAGGTGTTCGAGACGAACGTCGGCCTGGAGTGGGACGACTTCATGAACAACACGCGCGACTACCGCAACCTGCTTGGCTACAACGTCTACTACCGCGAGGCGCCAGAACGAAACGTCTCGCTTTACGGTGGTCGTGACGCCTGTGGTGGTGACTCGTAAGTGGCCGACGGACCGCAGCCAGCTCGGTGAGGTGGCAGAAACCTGCGCGCAGCGGCGTTCTGCCAAGGCCGGCCGAGCTGTCGGTGCTGGCGGCTGCGGGATTTGTGCGGCTTGACTCATGGACAGGAAGGGGGTCAGCGAGTGGAGACGTGGGCTTAATGCTGCCGTATCGCTGTGGCTGGAGTGCTGGCCCGGGGCCGAACGATTCAGTATAGGCCGCTTGCAAAATGGGACCAGTGCCGTCTTCGCGGTGCCGGCCACCGCCTGCTAGGGTCGATGCGTGGGCCCGCGGCGCGGTGGGACCGTCCCTGACCGCCTGGTGGTGCCGCCAGGTGGAAGGTGGTGGACTTCAGCGCCAAGCAGCCCGGCAACAGCAGCGCCGTGCTGACCGGCGCCGGCGGCATCAACGGCACCGGCGCCCCCATCCGCCAAGTCAAGGAGGAGCTGCTGACCGGGCTCAAGCCATTCACGCAGTACGCCTTCTACGTGGAGACGTTGATGGCCGAGACGGGTGTGAACGCCACCAGCGGCCAGTCGGACATCAAGTACTTCACCACGGCGCCCGGCGGTCAGTGACGCACACCGGCGCCCATGATATAACGCACATAACGAATACCAAACTGTATATCCCAGTCTGCCCATGCATCTGTCTACATGCACACACATGCATATATGTTGACAGATTTGTACATTTTATGTACGTAGTGGTTTGCTATGTTATATTGTAAGTATATAATGGTGACGTATTTATGTGTATCAAGTCACCACTGTCATTCAACTGTAATTCTGTCGTCAGTTCCCTGTCCCTGCTTTTGTCGCTGCCTGCGCCGTGCATATTTCCCACTCATCTTTCAAACCCTGCTGTTTTGCCACTGGGATACTCTACACCTACGCGCCGTGCCTGTAGCCGTGTCTGTGCCCCGCCACAGAGCCGAGCAAGCCGCTGGACCTGAGGGTGACGGCGCTGCAGCCCGCGGTCAAAGCAGGCCTGATGGACGCCTCGCTGCACGTGGAGTGGGACCCGCCGGCCAGGCCCAACGGCATCATCGCGTACTACATCGTGCGGGCCAAGTACAAGCCCGAACAGCTCGACCCCAACTTCGACTCCTGCAAGGAAGCAGACAGTAAGTGGCGTCGGCTGGCAGGAACTCGCCGGGCGGTGGCGACCGGCGCGCGAGGAGTCGCTGGCTGGTCGGTCCAGTTGGTCGTGAGTCGCCGGCTGGTCGGTCCAGTTGGTCGCGAGGTCGGGACTCGCCGGCTGGTCGGTCCAGTTGGTCGCGAGTCGCCGGCTGGTTGGTCCAGTTGGTCACCAGTCGCCGGCTGGTCGGTCCAGTTGGTCACCAGTCGCCGGCTGGTCGGTCCAGTTGGTCGCGAGTCGCCGGCTGGTCGGTCCAGTTGGTCACCAGTCGCCGGCTGGTCGGTCCAGTTGGTCACGAGTCGCCGGCTGGTCGGTCCAGTTGGTCACCAGTCGCCAGCTGGTCGATCCAGTTGGTCGTGAGTCGCCAGCTGGTCGGTCCAGTTGGTCGTGAGTCGCCGGCTGGTCGGTCCAGTTGGTCGTGAGTCGCCGTCTGGTCGGTGTCACCCTGACGTGCCGCTGGGTTATCGGACGTAGCCTATAACGGACAGTTGTTTTGACCGTGCTTAAAGAAATGCTGCACGTGTTCAGCTCTTATGAGAGCGTTGACTCCAGCCTGACGCTCATCCGGCCGTGTCAATGTGTGTTACTCGCTTCTGCCACGACGTCGTGCACTCCCAGCGCCACCTACACCCAGAATACACTGTCCGTTGCTGCCGGTGACCGTGACCTGCGGCCTGCGCTGCAGCGGCACGCTCGGAGCTCCTGCCCACCACCACCACCACCACCACCACACCCAAGCCGGCACTGGCGGGCAACAGCACGGTGGCAGTGGTTGGCGGCATAGGCGAGTGCTGTCAGTGTCCGACGGACGGCGGAGCGCGTCGGCCGGCTGACAGCGGCGCCGGCAGCTTTGACCGCGACAAGAAGCAGGAGCAGATCGACTTCGAGGACATGCTGCACAACTCGATCTTCATCAAGCGGGGGTCAGTGGCGCTGGCGGCGGACAGACGGGTCAGTTGAGGCCGTGTCGATTGCGCGCTTAACAAGCCCGTGATGGCCGCTGGCGTTGGTGCGTGGCTCAAGCGACGATTTGTCATCGCGTTTGTTGTATCGATCGGCGGCGGTATGGCGTTGCCGCTGGGCGCTGCGCCTGGCGGCTTCAGTGAGAGCATCGCCGGCTTCAGAGGCGTCGCTGGCTGTCGGTCGGCGGTGCCTGCTCGGCCGTCCGGCGCTGACCGGTTCCAGTCAGCCGTCGCGTTCCAGCCGTCGCGTTCCAGCCGAGGCCGTCCGGCGCTCACTGGCGTCCGCTTATTGCAGCTCGTCGCGCTCCAGCCTAGGCCGTCCGGCGCTCACTGGCGTCCGCTTGTTTCAGCTCGTCGCGCTCCAGCCGAGGCCGTCCGGCGCTCACTGGCGTCCGCTTATTGCAGCTCGTCGCGCTCCAGCCTAGGCCGTCCGGCGCTCACTGGCGTCCGCTTGTTTCAGCTCGTCGCGCTCCAGCCGAGGCCGTGCGGCGCTCACTGGCGTCCGCTTGTTGCAGCTCGTCGCGCTCCAGCCTAGGCCGTCCAGCGCTCACTGGCGTCCGCTTGTTTCAGCTCGTCGCTCTCCAGCCGAGGCCGTCCGGCGCTCACTGGCGTCCGGTTGTTGCAGTTCGTCGCGCTCCAGCCAAGGCCGTCCGGCGCTCACTGGCGTCCGCTTGTTGCAGCTCGTCGCGTTCCAGCCGAGGCCGTCCGGCGCTCACTGGCGTCCGCTTGTTGCAGCTCGTCGCATTCCAGCCGAGGCCGTCCGGCGCTCACCGGCGTCCGCTTGTTGCAGCTCGTCGCGCTCCAGCGGAGGCCGTCCGGCGCTCACTGGCGTCCGCTTGTTGCAGCTCGCCGCGCTCCAGCCGAGGCCGTCGCAGCGTGAACGGCTCGTCACTGGACAATGTGTCTACCGCGAACCGTCGTAGCGGACCCTGCCTGGAGGTCGAGACCAGCGAACACGGAAGTACGTGCCGTCGCTGCCGCGCGCGCTGGGCGGGTGGCCTGGGGAGGACGGCGAGGTGGGGGGTGACATGTCCGCCGATGGCCCAGAGGGTGGGTGGCCCCTGTCAGTGGGGGAGGGGCGGGGCCGTTCGTCAGACTGTGCTTGGTGCGTACGCGCGTTGACGAGCTGCTGTCTCCGTGTGGCGTCCGTGTGTGTGCGTGTGTGTGTGCCGATACGTTGCTCCGGGGCCGATGCAACAGTTTCGAATGCCTCCGTGTTGGGACTGCGCCTGCTGACTGGAGTTGACTGATGACACCGACATTGGCGCTGCCGGGGTGCCCCGGTCCGGAACCAGCCGTCTCACGCGGTGACACCACCTGCACCGCTGCTCGCAGGCTGGTGCAAGCTGTACGAGGCCAAACTTCCGGCCAGGATGGGCAAGAACAGCACTCGCGTGCCCAATCTGCGCTACTTCTCCGACTACGTGGTCGAGGTGATGGCCTGTCAAGAGCGGCTGGCCACGTCGCCGGAGGCCGGCCGGCGCGAGGGGCTCGTCAACAGGCCGGCCCGCTCCAGCCCCTGCAGCCGCATCACAAGAACCACCCGCAAGACTGGCAGAATCCGTGAGTATGCCATGGGCGCGAGAGCACCGATAGTTTAGTGGTTAAGCTGCTCGTCTGGGAAATCAGAGGTACGGCGTTCGATTCACCATGGCGCCCGCCCTTCCTGCCAGGGTGGGAGGCAGGCGATGTCATATAGTATCAGCAGCTCAGTGCGTCGTAAAGCACCACTGACATGGCCCACACATGACCATCGGCGCGCGTGTGTCAGCGCAAGCCGGCTGGTTTCGGCAGTCGGCCAGCCGCATAGGTGTTTGTGATCAGATGCGGTCTCGGATGGCCAGAGTTCCCAATTTACCGCGATCGGCCGCAACGCAGTGTAATGAACGATCCCGTTAGAAGACGATCGGCTGCGCCCCCTCCCCCTCCCCTTCGCGACCTTGTCCTGCCGTTGAATCCATCACGACCAAACAATCGGCGCACCCGAAGGCCCAAGTGCGCGGCCATCTGGCTCAGCGTCTGGCGCTGGAGTGACCGGTGCGCTCGCATGCCTGACCGCAGCGGCGGCCGACCGGCTGGACCACAAGCCCGTCATTTCGAACCAGACCGGCCGGCTGGTGACGCTCACCTGGTCCGACCCGCCCGACCCCAACGGCGGCCACGTGCTCAGTTACATCATCCACAAGCGGCGGATGGATGGTGAACAGGGGGTGAGTGGCATGGAATGGCGCAGAATAGCGCAGAGTGGCGTGGAGTGGCGGAGTGGCGCGGCGCGCGGCCCGGCCCAGCCGCGAACGCTACTCGGCTGCCTCTGCACTATGGTGTGCGTCGGAAGGAGGCACTCCAAGCTGACGCTGACTCACAGTGCCGGTACTACCGTTTTCACTTCGCTGTTGCGTGGGATGTCGTGATAGGATTTCTGGAAGCACGCCACAGCGATGGTTCTCCGTTTTGCGAGCATCGGGACAACTGCTCGGCTGCTGTTGTCGTTCCAACAGAGCGGTCATCCGTAGTCTCCCCGCGGAGTATCTTCTGACACCAGCACCGCCGCGACGCCGCCATCCCGCCGCTGCCGCTGAGCGCCGCGCTCTTCCGACAGGAGCTGACCAGCAAGAAGCTGGTGTGTCCGCTGCACCGGTGTGCTGAGCCGCCGTGCCGGCGCGAGGCGCGCGTCAAGCTGCCAGCCGGCAACATCAGCCTGCAGCTGCAGGCGCGCACGCTGGCCGGCCTCGGTCCGCTCACGCCGCCCGTCTTCTATCTGGTGGTGGTGAGCAGCACGGCGGTGCCGAGACGGGCGCGGCGCTGGGCCTCCTATGACGGATGGGGATGTTGGTGGACGTTTGGACGCCGCTTACACCTGTTTGTTTATTTGTTTATTTAGGACATGAGCATTCCACAGGTAAAAGCCAATTACGGAGGCAGCTCAGGTTTAAGAACAATAAATGTACGACACACACAAACAAAGAACATAACCAAGGACACACACACACACACACACACACACACACACACACACACACGCACGCACGCACGCACGCACGCACGCACGCACGCACGCACGCACGCACGCACGCACGCACACATCAAGTCATCAAGAAAATGCTCCACGTGTACCGGCAAACCTAAACAAATCAGATCGGAATACTTTTGTTGGATGAAAAAGTCAGTTGAAGGAAAATGCTGCAAAAAATGGTTCCAGACAGTGGGTAGTCGTGCGACAAATCCATTTTTTAACAGTGCTAACCCTTGCAAATGGATAGTGGAAAAGGCCAATATGCCGAGAACGCCGGACAGGTGTAGCCGGACTTAACAGTGATGTCAGGTGAGCGCAGTCAATCCCGTGATGAAATACGTTACCTGTGGGTGTCGCTGCTGGCGTCGCGTGAGTATGCGGGATATGGCAAGCAGCTATCCTTCCGGTGTCAGGGCTACTCACGTTGGAAATGAACCGCCACGTGTTATTATACGGGTGCTTGGCACTCGCAAAGTTTACTCACACTGGATCGGCGCTTGTGCGTGTCGTGCCGCTGCGCATCCAAACCGATGGCGTGATGTCGTCCGGCTGGCTCAGCGGGAGTGCCGTGCCGACGGACTGGCCGTGACTGCAGGCTCCGGGTGAGGGAATACCGTCGGACATCATCGTCGGCATCGTCGTCGGCCTGCTGATCCTGCTGATCGTGGCCTGCGGCATGGCTATCCTGTTCTTCAAGCGAATGGCCAAGCGGCAGATGGACAACATCTACACGTCCTGGAACCCCTATTACGGTCGGTGGTGACGGTCCCCGTTCATGGTTTTCGCTTGGCCCTACTGATCTGATGCCCCGGAGCGTTGTTATCAGGCGACTGGCAGCGGACGCCGCTCGACCGCATCCGCCGCCGCGCGCGACTGACCGGCGGCCCGCGCGCCCCCAGGCGGCCAGATCTCCTACCAGCCGGACGACTGGGAAGTGGACATCGAGAAGGTGTACTTCGACCGCGTCATCGGCAAGGGCTCGTTCGGCAGCGTGTACGACGGCACGGCGCTGCTGCGGTCGCGTGACTCGCCCGACGACACCGAGCAGCTGTACCGTGTGGCCATCAAGACGCTGTTGAGCGACGCCAGCATGTATGATCGGCAGGCGTTCCTCTCCGAGGCCAGCCTCATGAAGTGAGTGGCGTCGATTGTGTGGGGGCAGAGGCGCTCGCCCGTACTCCCCCCACCCTCTTTCTGTCTCTCCCTCTCTCTCGGCCAGGCATGGTCGCAGCAGTGATGTGTTCAGTTGCACGGGGAGGGGGGGGGGGGTGGGGAGGGGGAATTGGTTTATTGCCTTCTCTCTTTGTGCGAGCTGTGGTCGTATAAAGGCTCCCTCCGATCTCTGTCCTGGCTGCGTTCCGTCAACCAGCTGAACGCTTTGTGTATTTGTTCACTTGAGCGCGCCTCGCCGCACGTCTGACGCGTTTGCCACGCGCTTTTCCAGGGGGTTCAACTGCTACCACGTGGTGCGTCTGATGGGCATCGTGTCCAATATGAGCGCGAAGACGGCCGACAACATCCCACGCGCGCCGTTCGTCATCATGGAGCTGATGGCCAAGGGCGATCTCAAGTCGTACCTGCGCAGCATGAGACCGGAGGATGACGGCGTCTCCGTGCCCGAGCACTGCCCCGTGCTACCGGTGAGGCGCCCAACACCACCTCATGGCCTCAACACCGCCCTACAAAGTCGTCAGCGACTCTCCTCTTCCGACTCTGTGCATTGCCGCGCATCCTATGTCAGGTCGGCATGCCGTGCTGAGTTATCGTCACAATCGTTTGTGTGTCGTGCGTTCTGACGGAGCGCTCTCTGTGGACAGAACATATATCAGATGGCGACCCAGATCGCGGACGGTATGGCGTACCTGACGCAGATGAACTCAGTGCACCGCGACCTGGCCGCACGTAACTGCATGGTCTCCGAGGACATGACCATCAAGATCGGCGACTTCGGCATGACGCGGCATCTGTACGAGAAAAACTACTATAAGAAAGGTGCGTTTCGCTCCACCTCCTTCACCAGATGTTTTGTGATTGTTTCGTCGTTCGTATAATGCTCATATGACGCATCGTTTTAGCTGGCAAGCTCGTGTCAAGAGTGCTGGAGTGCCACTGGTCCGTCTGGCCTGGAGTGTCACTGGTCCGTGTCGTGGATATTCCGTCCAGAAAGCGGGTGTTGTCTGGAAAAGTGAGGTCCAACACACCCAAGTCATCACATTCCATTTCTGCGTTAGCGTGCCGCCAGTGAGCCGGTGTGTATGGGTGCGCTTTCTTTGTTTGTTCAGCCGCCTGTAGGGCCTCCCTGGTTTGTGCATGTGGTTGACCGTTCACTGTGGATCAGCCGTTGCGTGGTGCAGTGTGTGAGCTCCCGGGTGGGCTGCTGTGTGGGCGGCGCGTCACGGCGCGCCGGCGGCCCGCACCCGCCGTGCGGCGGTGTGACGCACCCGTATGGTGGCCGGCAGGTGGGAAGGGTCTGCTGCCGGTGCGCTGGATGGGCCCCGAGTCGCTTCGGGACGGCCGCTTCACCTCGCAGAGCGACGTCTGGAGCTTCGGCGTTGTGCTCTGGGAGATGGCCACGTACGCCGCCCAGCCGTACCAGGGCCTCAGCAACGAGGAGGTTATCAACCACGTGCTGAACCGCAACCGCATGTCGCGGCCTGACAACTGCCCCGAGCGGCTGTACGACCTCATGTACCGCTGCTGGGAGTACCGGCCCTCCGACCGACCCACGTTCGTCGACCTGGTGGAGGAGCTGCTGCAGTACGTCGCCGACGACTTCCGCTTGCACAGCTTCTACCACACGCAGCGTCCGGCCATGCAGGCGGCGGCTGAGGCGAGCGCGCGCGACGAGCCGGAGCCGACGGTGCGGACACCGCTGACGGGCGGCGAGCCGGCGCCGGCCTCGGTCACGCGCTGGCCGCGCATGGCCGAGGCCGAGGACCTGACGGACGAGGAGGACCCAGAGGCCAACTATGCCGAGTTCGAGGCCATGAAGCTGGAGAGCCGCAACGGCGGCCACGGCTCGCGCTCGTCGTCGGCGGAGAACAGCAAGGCGCACAGCGTGCAGTTCTCGTCTAGCGACGGCAGCAAGGGCAGCAAGGCGAGCAACGGTAGCGCGCGGAACTGCTACATCGCCGGCGGTGCGCTCAACCGGGTGCGAACTGCCGAGTGCTAGTGCAGGCCGTGTGCGATTATTGTTTTCAGTACAAACCTCACTGAAGCCCAATAACTTAGTGAATAGTGCTTTGTTTTTTTACAGCTACCTCGTACGTTTTGTCATGGGACCATTCGTAAGCTATAGGCAAAGATCTATGTGAGCCGAATTGGTCTGAGTTCTAGATTTATCTTGTATTGTGCTTGTGTACAGACCGATGGTTGAGGGCGGGGACCGACTCGCCTCGGGCCGCCGGCCTCGGCGGCGCGGGTGGGCGGCAGCCGGGACGCGGCGCGTGCCCTCCTCACCACGCCTCTCCTGCACGCACACCATTCCCCTCTTAATTTGCTCATAGAAAATGCCCAACTAGTCACCGCCTTTTCCTATTGCTGAGGCGCGGCCCGAAGCGACGGCGCGCGGCTCCGCCGCCGGGGTCCCGGTCGCCGCGCGCCGCTCTCTGCTCAAAGCCGACCCGGGCCGGCCGCGCGGCGCCCCGGCTCGCCGGCGGTCCGTTCAGTTCCTGACAGTGCCAAACGGGGCGGGCGCTCGCCCGCCGCGGCGGCCGCGGTCGTACCTCCCGGCGTCCCGACCCTGGCGAGGCGTGCATCCGAGCCGGCCGCGCCCGTACCTCTCGACGCCCCGTCACCGGCGCGGCGCGCACCCGAGCCGGCCCGCCCGTACCTCACGACGCCCCGTCACCGACGAGGCGCGCACCCCAGCCGGCCCGCCCGTTTCGAGCGCCGCCCGCCGCCACGTCCTCTCCTAGGTTTTAAACTCCTCGCCGCCGCTCGGTTTCGGGTGTATTATGTGTGTTTTCAATCCTGTGACATGCTTTTGTATTCCTTTACATGTGCACTGCCGGGAGGTCAGTGGGACTGCGAGCGCGACAGGCGGCCGTTCGCTCCTCGTGCGTTGAGTTAGGACCGACCGCGCCCGGCGCTGTACATTTCCCCGTATTGTTCTGTGCGTTGCGCCCTGCCCGCGCGCGGCCGCCGCTTCGCCGCTGCGGTGCGGCGACGGCCGACGCCGCGCCCTGCCCGCCCTGTTTGCTTGGTGTCTGGGCCGTCTCGCTGCGACAGGAGTGCTGTCGTGGGGCGGCCGCGCCGCGTGGAAGGTGGGGTTGTGGGGCGGGCGGCGCCAGCGGCCCGGTCGCGGGGTGGGTGGCGCCCGCCCCCTTCCGTACTCATCTTCTGTGTTCAGTGTGGAGAGGCTGGGCGCTGTGAGCACCGTTGCCGGCCGGGCCTCATGTGTAGATGTCTAGTGGAATCACATTGGCGTGGGCCGCCCGCTGGTCGTCACTGTAGAGTGTTAAACTTACCTCGAGCGCTCGTCACGTCTCATTTCACTGGCTAGGCACCCCGCAAAAGACATGTGCATTGGGACCGGTTTCGAATGAGTAACGCTTCGGACGCCAAAGATGCGTTATGATTTACATAGGTTGTCATCGGAGCGTGTAATCAGGGCAGCTAATGACCCAAGCGCAGTTCATATTTAACTTGTATTTGGAAAGCAAACGGGTAAATATATACGGTACGTGTCCGTCTAACGGAAAACAGCGTTTGTGTGGGTTCTGCCGCTCTGCGCCTGCCTCCGTCGCGTGTTTGCGCATTAACGCTGACCGCGGGATCGTGCTTCGCTCCGGTCGGTCCGAAAGCTAGCTCAATGATAGAAAATATGTGTGCTTGCCGTAGAACTCATTTCGGGATATCTTGGGCCCGAATGATGAAAGTAAACATTCAATTAAAAGGCGTTGTATTTTGGAAGGCATACGGCGATTGTGTCAACGGCGCAATGGCTCTCGTAAAGCCACGGCACTGCAAACCGGTCTCATCAGCCAGTGAGGAGCGGCGCGACCGCAGTGTGATCCACTTGTCAGCCATATGCCCCCTTCAGCTCATCAGCCAGTGAGGAGCTGCGCGATCGCAGTGTGATCCACTTGTAAGCCATATGCCCCGTTCAGTATCCAACCGTCAGCGCCAGTGCGACTATTTTCGAACAAAGCGCAATTTCCTGGCCGCGCCGAAGTGCTCGGCACTAAGGTCTGACCAGCTGAAAGGTTGCACGTTCCCCTGCTACAGTCACGCTGTGAACATGTATGCGAATGCAAGAAAGCGCGCGTCACCCCAGCGGATAGGTCGCGAAGGATGACGTGACATTTAAGTTCTGGTAGATCGAACGGTCTCAATGATTTTTGTTTCCTGTTCGATTCCAGATATCTTAACGAAATGAAACGCGGATTTTAGATCATTGGCAAGGTTTGAGGCCTGGGGAGCTTCAAAATGCTCTTTCTGACGAGTCTTGCGCGCTTCGCTTCAGGACATGCCACACGGCTCTGCCCTGCTTAAGGCTCCGCGCAGACTACTCACGTCAGCCCGTCAGCAATGGTTTTTGGTCCCGCGGTAGTGACGAGTTGAGTGATGTCTGTGTTGGATACGCGCCCAATCCCTGCCAGAAGACTTGCAATCGCCGGTGAGTCGAATAAGGCGAGACCGGCGCAGTCAGGCCTCGAGCGGTGCCCGACAATGCCCGCGTTGCCCATACTAACCAAAGTGTGCAAAGCGTGCGTGTGCTGGGTATGAGGTCATTGGAAATGTCCAGAACAAGCGACTGCCGGAACTGAGTCAGTCTCGGAACTTTAAAGCAGACGTCAGGAACATCCACAAATGGCTGTGGGGCCCAAGCGCATTCCCGCTTCTCCAACCACATATTCGCGAAAAAACACGTGCCAAGCGCTAGTGTTTCCGTTCTCGCACCCAGTGTACCGAGATGCGCCCAGCGTGCCGAAGTGTCGTCATTGTGCCGACGTGTGCTCAGTGCCCCGAAGTGTTGCCCAGTGTGCCGAGGTGCGCCCAGCACCCCGAGGTGTCGCCCAGTGTACCGAGGTGTGCTCAGTGCCCCGAGGTGTCGTCCAGCGCTCCTAGGTGTCACCCAGGGTCCCGAGGTGTCGCCAAGGTGCGCCCAGTACCCAGAGGTGTCGCCCAGCGCCCCCAGGCGTCACCCAGGGTCCCGAGGTGTCGCCGAGGTGCGTCCAGCGCCTCGAGGTGTCACCCAGTGCGCCAAGGTGCGCCCGACGCTCCGAGGTGCGTCCAGCGCCCCGAGCTGTCACCCAGAGTCGCGAGGTGTCGCGCAGTGCGCCAAAGTGCGCCCAGTGCCCCGAGGTGTCGCCTAGTGTGCCGAGGTGTCGCCTAGTGTGCCGAGGTGCGCTCAGCATCCCGAGGCGTCGCCCAGTGCGCCAAAGTGCGCCCAGCGCTCCGAGGTGTCGCCCAGCGCGCAGAGGTGCCAGTGCGCCGAGGTGTCGCCCAGCGCCTCGAGGTGTCGCCTAGTACGTCTAGATGTCCGCACGGCCTTTCCTCCCGAAGTTTACGTCCTCATCTTCGCTCGGCTCACACATCCGGACTTTTGCGGGTGTGTACGGCAACGCTGCGTCCGTCCCTGTGGCTCCGCGCCAGGCCAAACGCACGCGTCGCCGGCACGGGCTAGTGACACGGGACCAGCTCACCGCTGGCGGGCGGCGCGCGACGGCTCTGAAGTCGGCAGTACGCGAACGCCGGCGGCTCGACGAGTCAAGCTGTGCTCGGTTCGCACCGGAGGCGCTACGCACGGGAGCCGGTCACGCGCGCGGCCGCGGCCACCGGCGCCGGCGCCGCTGCCGGTCCTCGCCGGCGGACCACTCCGCGCCTCCGCCGCACGGCTACAGCCGGTCGGCTCTGTGCGAGGATGGGGTTTATTTACAGCGGTACAAATCCATAGCAACGGTGCCGTCCAGCGGCCAACAACACATCGCGGGTCCTTGGCCGGCGAAACACCTACGGCGCCGGGTCGTACTCTGCCGATCGCACAGCCCCTGATAAAATCGTAAAGCACACAGAAATGGATCGAAAGGACGCATGGGGCGACTTCTGGTAACAAGTACATGGTAGGTACGGCCTTGGACACAACGGGAAACAAATCGCAATGGTAGGAACAGCATCAGAAAAAAGGTCTAGGAGAAGGTAAAACCGGGCCACTTTTCGTGACAACTGAAAAAAACTTTCCGGAACAGATGCATCACACAGGAAGCCCAACAATTCCTGTGGGAAAAGATCTGAAGTAACCGCGAAGTGGAGCAAAAGCACCAGCCGATGTGTGAACAATATTGCCTTTATCTACCCGATCCAAATCGAACGCGATCACATAATTCTGCACAAGCTTATCTGACTTTATCTCCCGGAATCACAAGAGAAGCGTGATTGAGCGTGAGCAAAAGCTGCCCAGAACTGGACACCCCATTCCAAGGGGAGACTGCAGCGGCCCGCTTTGCGCAGAAAGCCACGGCGTGCTCCCACTCAGCTCTTATTGTCTGGGACACCTGACTGCGTAACACACCTCACCATCGGTCGTCTGAGAGGGCCCGCCATGGTGAAGGAGAGCACGCTCCGGCCAGTCGAGTATCGGCTGACCCGGCGGCGTCGACCCTGAGTGACCTCCGCCGGCGGCCCCTCCACCCCCCCCCCCCCCCCATGGACATGCCGGTGGCAGCCGGGCAAGACAGCGCGGGGGTCGGCGCCACCCGCCGGCTCCTCGCCCACCACTCAGTACGGGGTGTAAAAACCTTCAAAACAGCACCAACAGGCCACAGTCGCTCCCAATCCCGGACGCCGCGCACAACCGCGCCTTCCCACAACGCTAAACCGTTAACAATGTACTAGTGAGGCGGCCGCGAGCGGCGTCGCTACGAGGCAGCCTGGGCGGCGGACGCGTGGCGCGGAAACGCCAGCCCGAACTTGGTCTCGAGTCCCTCCAAGATGGGCACGGCCACCTTGAAGCCGCCGATGTGGTGCGGGTTCTCCTGCTTGGCGGCCCCGGCCAGCGAGAGTGGCGCCGACGTCTCAGAGCCCGACGGCCGACTGCGGATCACGCCAGGCCACGTTGGGTCATGGTCGATGCCCTCGGGTCGCTACAGAGAAGCCGGCTGGCTAGATGTGAGCCGCAGATCGGCGCCGAACAGTAACGCCACACGCCAGACAGCGGGCACACGGTGGCACTCGAGAACAAAGCTTGGCTTACGGCCAGCGCTGCAACGTCTCGCGCGTGCGGAAGCCACTGAACGGCCCAAACACGACAGTAAAACAAGCGCCGACGATCGGAGAATGTGGCGAATATCGAGCGAAGACTTACACTCCGCCGAAGTCGACGTAGAAGACGCGCTGCAGCAGCTCGTACGTGAGGAGCGTGACGCCAAACTGGGGCGACGAGCGGAACACGCGCGCTGCAACGGGCGCAGCCGGCCGTCAGCGGCGGCCCGTCCCTCAGTCGCACAAGGATGCGGCGCCGAGCGCACCACGGATGGCCAGCAGAGTATCGCATTGACGATGATTGCAGTGCAATGCGGTGCACTGCATTGCAGAGCAGGTTTGGAACACTGTAGGTCAATACTACTTACTTCCCCTTTGGAACATTTCGCGGTAAGAATGCGAGTCGTATGATGATAATTATTTCAGTTTTACAGCTCATCGATATCAGAGGTCAGCTCGCGCCCATGGCGTGTAGTTTGAGTTTCAGCGAATCTCTGTTCTCAGTAACGAGTGCTTAGCTGGCAGCTGGTCAGTGCCGGGTCTCGCACTAATCGATCCTGTCGGAGATGGCCGGATTGATTACCAGTCCAGACCAACTACAGAGCTGCGGCCCGAGGGTCGTACCTGGGGCGCCTTTCCAGAAAGCCTTCATGCCCTCCTCGCGGAAGATCTTGCGCGCGGCGTCCAGCACGCCCGAGTAGGTGGTCTGGCCGGCGCGGGCGGCCACCTGCAACACACGCGGGTGGTGCGGCACGGTAAGTGACGTCACCCGGGGACAAAGGGCAGCGAGCGGGCACTTACAGCCGACGACGGGAGGCCCGACGGGACGCGCCGACACCGACCACGCACGCTGGGAACCGACACCAGAGCGCGACGCTGGCGGCCCGCCCCCATACTGAGGTCAGATACCAGGTGCCACGCTCTAAACACTTCTCATCCTGCACCTTGCTGGTCCGTGCACCCAGACACGCCCCTATCCTGGAGCCGGATCTTGATAGCGTCATCCCTCCCCAGCACCTCCCTTCATGCCCCTGACCTGGAGCCGGGTCTTGATGACGTCAGCGGGCGTGGTGAGCGAGGCTGCCGGCACGCCGCCCATGGCGCCGGCCACCAGCAGTGTGTGGGGCGCGTTGTAGCCGTTCTCGTCGGCCAACAGCAGTTTGCTGTGCGCGTACACCGGGAAGTAGATGGCGCTGAACGGGATGTCGCGCAGAAAACAGGCGCGCGCCCCCTACCGGCGGCCGGACGGCAGGTCACGACACAGACAGCGGACGGACGGCAGGTCACGGCACAGACAGCGGCCGGACGGCAGGTCACGGCACACACAGCGTCAGGACGGCGGGTCACGGCACACACAGCGTCCGGACGGCAGGTCACGGCCAAGATAGCGGCCGGACGGCAGGTCACGGCCCACACAGCGGCCGGACGGCGGGTCACAGCCCAGACAGCGGCCGGACGGCAGGTCACGGCCCAGACAGCGGCCGGACGGCAGGTCACGGCCCAGATAGCGGCCGGACGGCAGGCCACGGCACACACAGCGTCCGGACGGCGGGTCACGGCCCGGACAGCGGCCGGACGGCAGGTCACGGCCCAGACAGCGGCCGGACGGCAGGTCACGGCCAAGGCAGCGGCCGGACGGCGGGTCACAGCCCAGACAGCGGCCGGACGGCGGGTCACGGCACAGACAGCGGTCGGACGGCAGGTCACGGCACAGACGGAGGTCCGACGGCAGGTCACGGCACAGACAGGGGTCAGATGGCAGGTCACGGCACAGACAGCGGTCGGGCGGCGGGTCATGGCACAGCAGATTAAAGCACCCATAGCATATGACATTGCAGTATGATATTTGCCAGTCACGGCATCTGTTCCTGCTGCGGATGGTAGCAGAACAACGGAAAGCTCCGCTTGCCATGACAGGCGACGGAGGCTGCCTTCTACCCAGCCCCAGACCCCCTAATGTACCGCCGCACCTTGTACAGTCCCATGAAGCCGAGGTCCTTGACGACGGAGATGGCGCTGATGTTGCGGCTGCCGGCGATCTCGCCCGCCACCTGCAGCCGGATCTTGACTATCTCCAGCGGGTTGGTGAACACCACCTGACTACCACCCGCCTGACCGCACGGCCGGAAACAACTGTCATACTTCGCACCACTTCCACGCACACGCATGTCGAACGAACGCCAGTGAGCCGGAATGCCACGGTAACAATTCACAACGTCGCGGCAAGTACTGCCATCTGGGGACATTTCCAAGCCCCTTGCAGCGTGAGCTAACGAGAGAGGCGCGCATCTGTCAGTGTCACCCAGCCTGCTGACTTACGCAGGCGCCGGCCATGACCTCGCCCCAGGCCGGGATGGTGCCCTGCTTGGAGGTCAGCTTGTCGCGCACCAGATCGTTGACGGTGAGCTTGATGGCCTTCTCGGGCGCCACGCCCACCAGCTGCGGTATGAGGCCGCGGTACAGACCGAGCACTCCTTCGAACCGCACCACCTGCCGGACGGAAGGCGGCCATCAGTCCAGCGCGGCCGCGCCGCCCAGCGGGCCAACCAACGGCGCAACAGGACCACCCGCACGGGCTCAGCGGAGGCTGAAAGGTCATCTCCAACTCTGGGAACACTCAAGCAAGGGTTTCAATGAAGTCCTGCCACCACAAGTTGCATGCATTACAGGTGTATGACTTTTTACAATACGCGAGTAGAAAAAATTGACGTCGATTACATTATGACGGGAGGTAGCGAAAAAGTCCTGCAAAACTGACGAATTCCCTTAACTTGGCGCGATCTCCAGCCGTTGACTGGACGCAAAAATGGAGTCCATCGGCGCTTACCTTCTTGAAGCAGTCAAACGAGTTTTTGTACATGAGTTCGCCGATGAAGGAGCCGGTGCGCTGGTTCTGCATGCGCGTCTTAACTAAGTCAATGGGATACACCGCCGTGGCTCCCACCGCTGCCAAAAAACAAAAAACAAACAACGGTCACATCAGACCAACGGGGTCAACAACGGGGTCAACAACAGACCAACGGGGTCAACAACGGGGTCAACAACGGACCCGGCGGTTCTCTCCCGCTGGCAACATACACCCCGCAACAAAAGTCACTTGGTGTCCTAGGTCCACAGAAGTATGCAATGCGGAAGATCTTGAATAAAACGACGTCCACCCGAAATCGCTGCCTCTCGTCTACTGGAACACCGGCAATCTGGCACGGTGGGCCCGCCCGGGCGTCACATGTCACATGTCTTGGCCCGGCTTGTTGCTCCGCTTTTGCACGAGCTGCTCACCTCCAGCCACGGCGCCCAGAGAGAACCGGTAGACGCTCTCCAGTACCTGGACCAGGGCTCCGCGCTGCTCTGGCGACTGCCGGCATAGCACAGAGCACCACACGCCGTCACCGCCACGGCAGGGGCCGACATGGGCGGCGGCTCCGGTCAGTTACGCGCCGGGACAGGGGCAGACAGGTGCGGCGGCTCTGGTCAGTCACGCGCCGGGACAGGGGCCGACAGGTGCGGCGGCTCTGGTCAGTCACGCGCCGGGACAGGGGCCGACAGGCGCGGCGGCTCTGGTCAGTCACGCGCCGGGACAGGGGCCGACAGGTGCGGCGGCTCTGGTCAGTCACGCGCCGGGACAGGGGCCGACAGGTGCGGCGGCTCTGGTCAGTCACGCGCCGGGGTAGGGGCCGACAGGTGCGGTAGCTCTAGTAAGTCACGCGCCGGGACAGGGCCGACAGGTGAGGTGGCTCCAGTCAGTCACGCGCCGGGGCAGGTCCCACCCCCCGTCAAAGGTGTCGGCTCCGCCGTACGAACACACGGAAATACACGGGGGTTTCGTTCGGAACGCATCTGCTTTCGAGTGAGGTCGCTAGCCGAGCGAGTTTTGCTTGAACCAGGAGCAAACTCAACTGGAGAGTCCCGATTCGGCCGCCACGCTTTTCAAAGCTAGCATTTTTGCAGCCATTGATTGCATGTTCGTGCAGTTTTCGGTAAAAATAAGCGCAATTTTTCAAGCCTGTGTGTATGAATTGCCAGGCATTTGCATACAACGTATATTTTTAAGTCGGGTTTCTTGTAACATTGCAACATCACCACAATTTCACCTTCTCCATTCTATTAACACGTAAAATGAAAACTGTTTGACCGCAATTTCACTCCTATTCGACTACCGCGTCAAGCGAAAATTGTCCAGCTATCAAAAATGCTGAAGAACATAAATTCAAACATGGTCTAGACGTCAACGGGCCGGCGTCGCAGCGAGATGGAACTAACATGTCCTAACGGGGATGGCGGGCAGCCGTCCTGACAAGTCTGGGTCGATGTGTGCAGACGGTCGCACGCGCTCGTACGCTAACCATGGGCTCGGTCCAGTTTGGGACGTTTCCAATGATTGACGACACATTTCACCAGCCAGAACAGGGTACAAACACGGAAGTAGCCAAGCGGTGCAGGCGAAGACACCGGTTACGACTCACTAACGGCGGGCCAGCAACCGACCGGAGGGCGACCAACGCTACTTTTTCAAAACCGACCTTGGACATACGACGCTGCATCCTAAAGACAAGGAGAGTACGCCATCAACATGGGAATATACTCCTGTTTACTGATGCTAATATCCACTCGAACCATTTGCATCGTTTTTGCAATACTTAGGTAGCGATAGCCATACATGTATATCACTGCAAGTCTATTGGTTTAATAGATTGAAATCGTCCCGTCACGCTTGTCAAAGCCACACAATTTTCAGGAAATGTTGGTTTTAAGTGTCATGATTTTCAACAAGCGTTACAGCATCAGAGAATCTTCGTATCTTAAACCTATCCTAAGTCACCATGGGAGGCAGGCTTCCCAACGCCCCGATAAAATCTATTGGTATGGGTTGGCGAAAGTGCGCGGATTCACTACCTTAGCTTTTGTGCATCATCTGCGTAATGCCTTTTGTCGCCCTCCGCGCTTGATATCGCCTCGTTCGACCTGTGCCGCGCACGGCCAACGGCAACGCGTATCTGGCGCATCCGCCGTCTCCGAAAGTGATTTTGAGACGCAGTGGTGTTACTAAGCACCGGCAAAGGGGCAGGATAGCAAATATGCTATATGCATTAGCAGCATGGCAGTGTATTATCGCGGTCAGTTAATCAATTCAACAGGTGTGTTATCGCCCGGCGAGTGGTGGAGGGCCGGTACGGGCGGGCGCCGAGTCACCGAGGGGGGAACCACATGTGGGCAATCGCTGGCCATATCAGACAGCGGCCATCTTGTAATGCCGACGTGTTTTGCAATCCTTCACAAAGAACAAAAATAGCGCCACCGAACATCGGAGAGAACGCCCTGGCAACCAAACAGTGCAATGTCGCTTTCCTATACATATCGCGTAAAAAGATGAGCGCAATTCAAAACAGTGAGGCGGGGCAGCATGGCACAAGTGTAAGTACTGTACAAGTGCCGGCACAGAGCTGCTGCCCCCGTTTGGGTCCTCCACCGCGCTGTCTCATTCAGCCCAGTACCGTCCGTGGCACCAGCGGGGGAGTCGTGGGCACCGTTTGGGTCATCCAAAGCACTGTCTCATTCGGCCCAATACCGTCCGTGGCACCAGCGGGGGGGGGGGGGGGGGGTTGTGGGCACCGTTTGGGTCCTCCAAATTACTGTCTCATTCGGCCCAATACCGTCCGTGGCACCAGCCGGGGAGTTGTGGGACGCACAAATCCACACACAAATGTTAACTACGTGAACAGCATACACAAAATAAAATCCTACAGTGTAACATAGATTATATTGGTGTACTTCATATTACATCTATGTGGGGTTTCATACACACAATCTGCTCTCAATATGTAATGTTTTGAAGACTACGAAAGTTCGAATAAGAACTTTGATTTGCAAACTATTGTTCTCGGCCAGGATTATTTGTCCCAAACCCGTTCTTTTAACACAGTTGCGCTGAAATGCACACAATATTAGAACTGGAACAAAAAAGGGTCCTGTTAGCGTTTTTCACAACCTTGCTCCCACTCAGGCTTTCCTTGTCCGTTTTTCGCTTGTTGATAGCTACAAATGTATCAACAGAACACGAAGTTGTTTGCCCCAGTTCCGCAAAAATCTTCCCTTAAAATTGTGATACACCAGAGAAAAAGATAAAAAAACCACTACGCATTAATCCTCAAATCTCTGTTTTCGTACACAAATATATCGTTTCAGAGCATGGATTGTAAAGGATGAAAGCGCGCCTGACTTAGTTTGCATCTTGTTCCATTCCCAACTAGCATCAAATTGTCACCAACTAGCATCAAGCTAACACCAACTATCTTCATAAAAACGAAGCCGCACACAAACGGTAGCAAATTTGCTCCCATGCCGGCTGCGGATGTGCTCCAGACACACGCGCCGCCACGACCTAACCAGCCCACTGTAATGCGGAACGTCAGCTGGGGCCGTCTGGCCGATGGGGCTCATACCGCTGACACGACTCGGATGGCCATCTGGCAACCCCACAGCCGTCTGGCCGATGGAGCTCATGCCACTGACACGGCCCGGATGGCCATCTGATAACCCCACAGCCGTCTGGCCAATGGGGCTCATGCCACTGACACGGCCCGGATGGCCACCTGATAACCCTACAGCCGTCTGGCCAATGAGGCTCATGCCACTGACACGGCCCGGATGGCCACCTGATAACCCTACAGCCGTCTGGCCCATGGGGCTCATACCACTGACACGGACTCACACCACTGACAGGGCCCGGATGGCCATCTGGTAACCCTACAGTCGTCTGGCCGATAGGGCTCATACCACGGACACGGCCCGGATGGCCATCTGATAAAGACTACAACAACACGCGGGAAGACACCAGCACCATGGGACCAACGCAGCTGCTTGGCATACACCCGCCTTACGTCCGTCACACCGGACTCCAGCGAGCACGCGCGAAAACGACACCAGCAGAGCCGGGCGCCCGGTAGTTCCGCCGCGTCTCACCTCCACAGCCTTGATGTCGGTATACTTCTTCGTGACCTGCTTCATGTACTGTTCTGGCGCCATCACCTGCAGGTCGGCGTACACCAGGCGGCTACCGGCGGAGGGCGGCTGTGACGGCACCGAGCGCGCCGCGTGCGGAGCCGCGTCCGCCACACGAGGCGGACGGAGGGACGGGGACACGGCCACCGGCGGCCATCAGCTGAGGTCAGCACGGAGCCGCGTCCGCCACACGAGGCGGACGGGGGGACGGGGACACGGCCACCGGCGGCCATCAGCTGAGGTCAGCACGGAGCCGCATCCGCCACACGAGGCGGACGGGGGACGGGGACACGGCCACCGGCGGCGATCAGCTGAGGTGAGCACGGAGCCGCGTCCGCCACACGGGGCGGACGGGGGGACGGGGACACGGCCACCGGCGGCCATCAGCTGAGGTCAGCACGGAGCCGCGTCCGCCACACGGGGCGGACGGGGGGACGGGGACACGGCCACCGGCGGCCATCAGCTGAGGTCAGCACGGAGCCGCGTCCGCCACACGGGGCGGACGGAGGGGCGACGGACACAGACACCAGCGGCCGTCAGCTGATCAACAAACGGCCAGCATGGAGCCACCGAGATGCGACTGTCGGACGTTTGTGCCCCTCACGCCGGTGCACATCCGCAGGGGTAATGGCAGATTAAGCATTCAATTACCGGACACTGAACAGGGCGACATTTTGGCAGTCGAGCGGCAGTTTCTTCACTCGCACTGAAGTCTGGCCTAAAAGACAAGAGAGCCGTCTTTGCGACGGCCACCGAAGACGGACTGTCAGACCAATCAGCACAGCGGAGTTTTCCGGCGGACAAACATAACACTATGACCACATCCGATATAACCATACCGTGTGGTTCCACTGAACCGATGAAAAATGAGAAAGCTGGCATGACCACGACATGCACAGCGCCCCAATATTAGATGTGAGCCAGAGTCTGGGTGGAGGAACTTTACAGTGCAATGTAACAGCAGTCACAAACTAGCATTTGTTTAGGTATTCATGACGAATCATGTATGTTAGTTGTCTGAAATGATGGGTACATCTGCATTATCGAACTACTGCTATCACAATGAACCATGTTATGCACGTAGTTTTAGGTGCGAGATAACCCATTCTCCTCCGCTCTTAAAGACACACTAGGACCTGCCATGACAATCACGGGAATCTCATACACAAAATAAATCAATTCAGATGTTGATCGATGCCTGGCATCCGCTTACATGCAAGATGCATGCAGCCGACATGAGCATGAGCGTCAGGAACGCATCTACGTAAACTTGAAGTATGCTTGAAATGCAACACAGAAAGGTGCGAGGGATTCAAAACCGTGAACAACAATAATTAATTGTGCCAAGCTACGCAGTGGGAGTGCTAACTAAATTGAAGCTGTCGAGCACATCCTCAACTCAACACTGAAAGGTTCGATGGAACACAAGCACGACGTACCAACCGAGCGCACAACAATGCAACACAAGCAAACCAAACGGCTGCCGGTCAGCAAAATCTGAAGCAAGTACAGTTCCAATGACGGACACTCAGCAGAGAAGCCCGTCCGAATCAGCTATTCACCCCAGGGCTTGGCTGTTGTTTCCCAGCGCTAATACCTCGCTCCTGAGCGGCAGGGCGGAGAGGAACATGAGTGGCACAACAGGCCGTGCGCATCACCGGCCACCAGCACCTACAAGATACACCAGCGCTCTGAGTACAGTTGGACACCACCTGGCAGCGGCGGTGACGCCACACCACCAGTACTGGCAGCACATCACGCATGCTATGGGACTATGGTCGGAAGCTCACCACCAATCTGGAGTACAAGATAAGGCTCAATGAGGCAGGGCAACGCGACCCAAAATGCATCAATTTGTAACTGGCGAAGGATATTCTGTCACCTATGTTATCATGTTTTGGGCACCCAACATGATCGCAATTTTCTCGACATTTGGAGCTTTTAGTAGACCGAGGCGAACAAAGCTGAGTTTCAAGTTCATACTACTCAGGGATATGAACTCTGACCTCAAGAACGAAAATCCTTGTGTTGGTCTCATACAGACAACGTGCTAAAACAATTCCGACTCAGCCAAGACATTTGGGCACGCATTTCCGCGCGCGACGGGCCACAGTCTTACTGTGCAACTGCTCAGATGCAAGCGTTATTTTAACGGCACTAACGATGCCACTGTAAAGCATGCACATAGTTATACGCCAACGGAAACGGAAACAGTGGGCTGACCGAGGCCAGAGCACCAGTAGAAATCAAACGGAGACAGCACTGTAAGGGGACACACAAACCAGGTAATCAGCAATAGTCAGGGCTGGTGGCCGCCAGATAAACAGTGCATGATACGTCTGGGACGTTCTCTTTCGCAACATTTCGTCAGATAAAATTACAGGCGTCAGAAACACTTTGACATCAAAAGTCGTTCGGCCACAACCCAGGCGGAAGGTCTGTCCACACACCAGGCGGAATGTGCGGCCATACATCAGGCGGACTGCCCCGCCACACACTAGGTGGACTGTCCGACCACACGTCAGGCGGACTGTCCGACCACACGTCAGGCGGACTGCCCGGCCACACACCAGGCAGGATGGTCCGACCACACACCAGGCGAACTGCCCGGCCATATACCAGGCAGACTGCCCGGCCACACATCAGGCGGACTGCCGGTCACACGTCAGGCGGACTGTGCGGTCACACACTAGGCGGATGGTCCGACCACACAGCAGGCGGATGGTCCGACCACACAGCAGGACGGATGGTTCGGCCACACAGCAGGCGGATGGTTCGGCCACACAGCAGGCGGATGGTTCGGCCATACACCAGGCAGATGGTTCGGCCACACAGCAGGCGGATGGTTCGGCCACACAGCAGGCAGATGGTTCGGCCACACGGCAGGCGGATGGTCCGGCCACACAGCAGGCGGATGGTCCGCATCAGCCGGCCTTACTTGCTTTGCTGAATGAGGCCAGACAGCTTGAACAGAATGTCTACCTCCAGCGGCGTGATCTGGGACATCATCTGCGCCGACTGCAGGAACTCCTCTGCAACGGACAGACGCCGCCAGCTGAGGGTCACAACGCGGGCAATCTCCGGGTAGCGGGCTTGGTCACCACGCCCCCCCCCCCCGCAGCTCTCCAACGTCGACGCAGCGAGCCATCCGCCATTACAGGACCTCTTTGGCAACCGCCTTAAACATCCCTTCGAAAATCTGCTTTTGAACACTGTGAACATTTTTGCCTCAGAGAGGCTGGCCGACCAACATGCTGGCGGGTCAAAATGAAGGGTAGATGTGTTTGAAATAATAGCAATAGCACTATAATTCACAAAAGCCAATAATTTAAGAACTGGAAGGGAAGTCCAGAGTCACAAACAAAGGCACAAACATGACACGAGGGCAATGCCGTAAATGACCTCTGCGAGCCCATGCAATCGTACATAGAAATTGTCTGCATATAAAAAGTGTGCATTGCACTCACGGCCGCAGCATAATTTCGCTTCGCCGCAAATGATCTGGCGCTATACTGTTAGGCACACACGCCCCAGTGAAACAGGTTTGACCCGCTAAAGCCGGCGACTGACCTCGCAGGATCTCAGTTCCACCCAAGCCGATATGGAGCACTACGTGCGTCCTTCGCGTCAGACTAATGGTCCCACGCCAGCCTCCACGCCCACCGCGGACGGCCAGTCTATCACAGCGAACAGGGCACGGGAGGAGTCCGTCCAGCCTCCGGCACCACGTAAATGAGGGGAAGGAAAGCAGCGACGCCAGGACAGCCTGGGGAAAGCGCAGACTTCTGAACACTGTCACGGACCCCGCCGTCATTCTAGTGATATTCAATAGCTCGGGGCCCGATCTGAAATTTACACAACGACGCTTTCGCCCACCTATACATATACTTTAAGCATATATGCCTAAGCACGACAAATTCTAAGTGAACCGGACAATGAGGTGAATTCCTAAAAGGGAATGTTCCACGTTTACATGGGGCTTTGAACTGAAATGGCCATCTTGAGGGCCTTTGATGCAGTTCACTGCCCTGCCCTTCTGGTTCATGAGTTATACGCCCGCAAAAACGCGAAACGGTTTATTGGAAGACCTCTTCAAAGTCACCTTGGCATTGATGTCGCGATAAAGACGTCATAGACGGTCATTATATTGCAGGCTGTTTTCTCAGAAAACAGAAAACTTTTCTGCTTATAGTCAAAACTACAAGGCCACTGATACATTCACAAGGGCGATGATGCAGCACATATGATACAACCCGCCGAAGGTGATTGGCTGTTAGTAAGATTTCGCTGCTGAATGCGTGTCGCGAACGTTGGCGTAAGCGTGTGTGTGTGTGTGCGTGTGTGCGTGTCATTGGAGCTTTACGACGCGCTCAGCTGCTGAGGCTATATGGCGTCACCTCCCAGACGCGTAGTGGTTAACGCAGACGCGTTAAGCACTACACTACCGACACCCGAAGAAGCGTGAGCACTTTCGGGTTGTGTGGCACTCGTCGCCAACGGGGCATTTTCCTTTTTTAGACCATAGGTCAATAATACAAAAGAGAAAGCCACTGTCTGCAAAGAGCACGTCACCAAAAAAAGAACAGCATTCTCCCGAATGTTATGTACAAGAAGACACAACGGTAAATCTGACTTTTTCTCCTGCTAGCGATTTTTTTCTTCTAACGTACTTCTTACAGACAGCTCGGTTGCCACATTGTGTACCGGATCTTAGAACCTTGTACGGGTCTATGGGTTAGCAAGGCAGTATAGAATTAGGAAAATATTACAGCAATTTTAGATGCGTATTTCACTCAATATTCAACACCACTTGTAGGACAAATTTAAATCTTGAACGAAAAATTGCGTCCTAAAAATCCAACCTCTTGAGTTGTATTACCATGAACCACCCGTCGGACCTTCCTTTTACGGGAGCTCACGGCTAAATGCGGTGTGGTACCCGAAAACCTGTGCGAAAATTGCGAGGAAACCTGCAATTTGATAGTCCCGGGTGCTATGCAGGAGCGGGATCACACGTATTTGACAATGAGTGCGAATCATGCACTTGAAATGGGTGTGATCACTGGTGGTGCGTGCCAGTGGCTTGTACTGATCTTGATTTGATAGGGAGTGTGCGTGCGAGGTTTGTACTTCTGAGAGGGAACATTGTTTTGGTATTCTTTAAATCTAATGACTCTCAATACAAAGTCATAGATAGATACCCGTCTATCTATAGGTTTGCGTTTGAGCATGACAAGGTAGTGATGTCGGAAAACTGACAGAAACACTGGCACCCATGCTACAGGAATGTTCAAAGGCAACTTGGTACTTCATTATGATTTTGCCAACATTTTGAGTCTATTGAGGTATCCTGGCATGTAATTAGTGCATGGCTGCGTGCATACCCCCTCCAAAACGGAGGGCGGTTACGCACCGGGCCCATAAACTCTCCAAAAAAAATATTTCAGATGGTTGTAAGCGCCTAGCATACGTGGATAGCCAGCCTTGGAGGGAAGCAAGTGCAAGCATGCAGAGTCCCGTGGGAGAAGCTGGCTCGACGCGCTATATGCATGAAACGATCACGAAATCCATCGACCCACTCTGAGTCAGTTCCTTTTTGTTCACGAATTCTCACCCGCCGGGCCAACGTCTCCAGCGGATTAATGGTTAGCGCGCTGGTCTCGCGCCCGGCATGCCCGGGTTCGAAGCCCGAAACCCCACAACGGCCGCTGTCAAGTGGGTGGCTTCATGGTCTATTGGTGTGGCATAATTAGCCACCTCCCTTCACTCCTAAGCGGAATTTATTCGAACTTAGGCTCTCCATACCGCACAGAGGCACAGTTTTTATCGTCAAGGAGGGGGGGGGGGGGGGTCCCACACTACAGAGATATTGGGGATCCCGTGAACATTGGCTGTAAATCTAAGTGAGGCCAGCAAGGTGTATAAACTTAGGCATTTTTATTTCATCTCAGAATGTTCAACCGTAAGTCAGAATCAATTAGTGAAAGGTTAGGTGCACGCTACCCTTCCGGGCAATATCTTACAGATCATTCCGTCCAAGCTCGCGGTGTCTACCAGCTGCCATTCTGGCGACATGGAGACGGGTTCGCCTGATGGGTTCGTCCGCAGGCCCTCACAGATCTACATCCTACATGTGTGCCCTCCTTGGCGCGGAAGGCCCACTGGCGGCTTCTGACTGGGGCCTTTGACCCGGGCGCACGAGACCTCACTGGTGCAACAAGATCCCTGACAACCGCAGGTGGCCCAATAACAGGCACAGAGACCCATGTTTGGGCAACGGGCCCCTGGCTAAAACGGGGTGAAGGGCCTCGCAAGGGCCCCGGGTCATCCCTGGCCGACTCGGGACTCCTTCCGTCACAGGAACCCTGTTGGACACTCCGGGGGCCTGACGGTCAAAAGACCACGCATTGCAGTGAGACCAATGCAAGCCACAGGCCTCCGACTCGTTCCTGCTAGAGAAATGGAGGCCCCAGGGCTCCGAACAACACGGAGTCGACTATTCGGTGTAATGGTCTCCGGTCGAAGTAGGTGCGCGTATTGTCCCAGAGGTCCACGCTTGGTGAGAGGCATATTGGCTGGTATTTGGGGTCACGGCCATACGGGCCAGGATGACCTACAGCCTTTCGACCCTTACGGTCATTCAGCCTTTCCATCGGGTTGTTGATCGTCAGTCTCGAAGGGCACATCGGTCCCTTTTAGGGCACCGGGCACCCACGTACACCCCCTGACCAACTCGGGGCCCCTGTCAACACCGGACCCCAGGTTAGGTGCAGTACGCCCCTGACCGACACAGGGGCCCTCATTGGCTCGGGGTGCACTGACCAATGTGAATCGCTGGGCCTGATCTTGCCCCTGCCTGGGAAATGCGCTCCCAGGCCCAGGCCGGGGCACAATCGGTGCAACGGGCATTCTGGCTGGTATCTGAGGGTCCGACCCGCGTCCCTTAATGAACCTTAGTGCCACAATGACACTGTGCCACAATGACACTGTTGATGCGTGCCGTTACACAATGTACCACATTGGTGGACTCCTCGATGCCAAGCTATGACATAACAGCTTATAATTTACGAATGATGTAACAACCGATTTAACAACGCCAAAGAGCTATCGCCAGCGAGAATGTTGTTGCACCACAATGGTTATATCAGGGTTAACTATAAATTGCATACATAATCCTGAGCAAGAAAAACATTCTTGGTAGCTCATCCTTACCATCTGTATAATAGAGATAACAATGATTGGGGATCAATTCATGGCAATGTTATATATTTATTAATTTTTGCATGCAACTGCATTTCCAGTAACAAATAATAAAGAAAGTAACTACCGTGCAAATCACATGACATCAATGTAGGGACTACAGCACCGCAGGCAAGGCTAAGTCCACTATAGAATATTGACATCCGTCAGTCCTTGACAGGTTTCGGTAAGACATTCATGATGCTATATGACAGTCTTCACGGCATATCGTTCTTTGATATTAATAAGCTACCCTAAAAGCTGCCGATCGCTACGTTGCGTATGTCAAACAGCCCGCCAAAGCTTCTGTTACGACCAGTACCAGGACAAAAAAAAAAACCACAAACAAGCCATTCACTAACCCGCTACTAAACACAGCGCCCGCGACGAGAATGGCCGGTTGCTTTCGTGTGTTTAGAGGTATTCTTTACGTCTGGCTGCCAGAGGCCGCCAGGCATTGTTGTTGCCACAAAACCATCACATGAAGCCATCAAACAATGACGAAATAGGGCGCATTTGAACAAACATTGAAATTTTGCTACGTAGCGTCGTTTTTGAACTTCGAAAGCTTACCAACAGTTACAAGTAAGCTTTTCCCATCATATCTGATGCTCATCTCAAAATCTTCAAATGTGGAGCATTCCCTTTAAGAAGGCCACCGGCGCCGAAGGAATTCATACTGCTGGCTGTTTAACAAACATTGAATGCTATATATAGTTCCAGGCGGATTTCGCGGCAAGGTAGCAGCCCAATCACGGATCATTCGGAAGTGGCTGATTTCAAGTTAAGATGCAATGAGGCGATTCGGCCGCCTTCGGGCTTCCACAAACCCCCTTATTGAGAACGGATTGCTCTACACCCGCCACCTAATCTTGCCACGGAATTAATAGCTCATTACTGTGAGTCTTCACCACCACCCCACGGGCAGCTGAAACACGATAGCAGGACACGGGGCGACGTCGTACCTTTGGTGACTTCGGCCGTCCGGCTACCGTTAGAGGACAGCAGATATATCCGCTTCACCAGTTCCATGTTGTTCAGCAGCGAGTTGAAGGCCATGAAGAAGGGGAAGCTGACGCTCTGGCCGCCGGCAATCTGCGGCGCACAGCATTGTAGCCCTGTTCACCCCCTGTCACCATCGGCAACGACAACTGTGTTCATAGCCCACGACTGGAGTTCGCCGCAGCCTATCCCACAGTCCAACGGACAGATAAAATCCGATAACATAGGAGAAGAAAAAGCGAAGCGTACATCCACCAAAAAAGGGGGAGTTTTCCCATACCACGATGCCTGGACGTGACTCCCTCACCGCCACCAAGGTCCCGTCTGGTGACGGTCGCTCACTGACGGTACTCACCGCCACCAGGATCCTGTCTGGCGGCGGTCACTCACTGACGGTACTTACCGCCAGGATCCTGTCTGTTGACGGCCGCTCACTGACGGTACTCACCGCCACCAGGATCCTGTCTGTTGGCGCCCGCTCACTGACGGTACTCACCGCCACCAGGATCCTGTCTGGCGGCGGTCACTCACTGACGGTACTCACCGCCACCAGTATCCTGTTTGTTGACGCCCGCTCACTGACGGTACTCACCGCCACCAGGATCCTGTCCGTTGACGCCCGCTCACTGACGGTACTCACCGCCACCAGGATCCTGTCTGACGACGGCCGCTTACTGACGGTACTCACCGTCACCAGGATCCTGTCTGACGACGGCCGCTCACTGACGGTACTCACCACCACCAGGATCCTGTCTGACGACGGCCGCTCACTGGCGGCACTCACCGCCACCAGGATCCTGTCCGACGACGGCCGCTCACTGACGGTACTCACCGCCACCAGGATCCTGTCTGACGACGGCCGCTCACTGACGGTACTCACCGCCACCAGATTGTCTTTGACCTGCGGGGTCAGCAGGTGGGACTTGACAGTCATCATGATGTCGTTGAAGCCGACGGGCGTGATGAAGCCGGTGCCCTCCTTATCGTATCGCTTGAACGCCTGAACGGCGTGCTCTTCGTGAAAGTCCTGAGTAGTGCGATAGAGCAGCGTCAGAAGTATCAACGAAACATGGTACCACACAAAGGCTGAAAAGGAAATACAAACTACGGATCTGCAATTGAACACCAAATCTAGTCATACAAGGTTGCCTTTCAAACAGCTGGAAGACAATTGAGATCCCCATACCCCACTTATCTCCACTTATGAAGACTGTGACGCGTCATTAAGTATAGCTGGAAATCGTTTAGACGGTATATGGACATTGATAACTATTTATTCTTGTTCGGCCCAGTCTTTTAGCACAAACTGTCCTGAACTGTTCCAAAGATATTGAAATAAAATATCAAGTGTTTCATGGATTTAACGACGAAGAACGTTCTGAAACACAACCGCGTCGGTGAAAAGGTGTTGAACACCAGGCGCATGTCTGAATGGCTCCATTACCCAGCAATCTAATGTGACTTTATGCACAAACACTTGTGGCTGTTGCTATTGTGTTGTTGTGGTCCAGGCAGGGCAAAACGCGACTTGACCGCAACAGCACGCACACACTACACAAATAACCGCCGGGGCCAGCAGCGCCAGGGCACATGCCCCAGCCCCCAGCCATCAGGCGCCAACGACCGCGAACAGCCGGCTCCTCACGTGCAGGAACTGGCTGAACTCGTGATAGGGGATCAGCCGGTTGCGCTCGCGGCCAAAGTACAGCTTGACGAAGTCGCTGTCCAGGTCGAACTTGACGCGCTGGTGCAGCGCCGTGTGCGTGATCAGGTCCTTGAACTCGTCTGGCAGCAGGAGAACAAGCATCCAGCCCGTCAAACGACGAGGACTCGTTCTCGCCGTTTGACGGGCCGGCCTCACCATCACAGGTCTTGGCAATGGCCACGGTACTTTGGGCTTAGACAAGTGCCAATCACAAGCTAGATTGCGTACCATTAATCAATTAACCCAGAAAATCGTTCGGCCAGACCCTTCTACAGTCACTGGCGCATAACATACGCATGGCATACAGTCATGGCGCGAAACGTCCGAAGAGTTGATGGACACTTCCCGCCATGTTTTTACAACACTTTTAGTCTTACGAAAAGTCCCATCATTATTTCGGCATAGAAGAGACGCAACGGTTAAAAGCATCTCAAGCATCGTCCCGTTCGGCCGTGTATCCCCCTCCTCCTTCAATTAGTGACGCACAGCGCCACGTCGCGGCTCCGGTTGGCGAGGCCGCGGCGTTGGCTCCCGCTGACGGGCTGCCAGCTGGCTGCTGTGTTCAGTGAACAAACAGGTAGCCTAACAACAGACCCAGGGCACATCCTGCCGGACTCCCCCGTAGTATCCCCTCCCGATCAAACGTTACCCTGCCCCCCCCCCCCCCCTCTCCCGCCTCTCCGGTCAGCTGCCCTCGCGCCAGCCAGACTCCTCCACGGTCTGCCTGGTTCGCCAACCCTCCCGATCCTCTGACCAGCTGCCCCTCTCGCCTCTGACCGTACGAGACGGCACCCGAGCCGTGGGTGTCGAACAGCTGGAAGGCCATATGGTAGAGCGCGTCCGGCGCGCACAGCTGGCCTTCAAACGCCTGGAACTCTGGAAACGAGATGAGCCTGGCCGGGGAGGACCCAAGAGTCGGTCAGCGCGGATACGTACACACGCATGTGCGGACATGGCAGACACAGGTTGGACTTTATAACCGCTTACGTAAGTTGTTCAGTGCATTCGGGAGGAACATTAGTACCACGGATAAGACAGTAGTATTAGCCTTATTCCTCGGAAAAAAACAGGAGGATAGAGATATAGTTAAGTTGATATATATATATATTGGCAACATTCCTTTCTCGAAACAATAGCAGAAGTCTTTGGGTATTAGCATAAGTATAGGTATAAGTATACAAGTCTATAAGTCACTTCCGCTATTGTTTCGAAAAGACATGATGCCGAAATATCAGCCTAACTATACCTCCATTCTCCTGGTTTGTCTGAGGAATAAGGCAAATACTACTGTCTTATTTATATAAACACTCCATGAAACTGCATAAGCTTGTATGTTTTTTTAAATTATTTTTTAATAAATTTGGTCCGAATCCTTTGAATGGATGGATTTCTGGGATCGGCGCTCATGCTAAGCAGTGCTTGTTGTGTGAGCCCTGAACCCTACCATCCGATCGCGCAGTTCCAGGCAACGGCAGAATTTAGTGGCGAAAGCTTAACGTGCCGCAATGCTCGGCACGGTCCGTCCTGCCCTCTGACCTCAACTGACCTTTAGCGCGACCGCTGCCACCGGCCGCAGGCCATACCTGCCAAGGGCAAATAGCGAGCGCCCTAAAGCGACTCGAACCCATCCCGCCACGGATGGGTGGGTCGGAATGCAGGCGCTCTAACCAACTGAGCCACCGGGACGGACGTTGGGCGAATGGGCGAATAAAACGTGAAAATCGCGTCTTTTGTTAGAGAGTAAAAGTCACACATTGGGCAAAGTTTTGTAGATCTAGATTGAACAATGTAGCATGAAATGTTTCTGTATCCAGGCCTGCATGCAAGCAAAGGCAAAGGTATGTGAGCATGTAACAATTCTTCTGATTTACCGGCATTGTCAGTACAGGTGCCTTTGCTCACCCATCCTTGCTGGTGTCAATGATGCCTCCCAAGAGCTTAACGGATGTGGAGTTATAGTTGTTGTCCGTGAACCAGCCCAAGAAGTTGCGGATGAAATCTGTTGGGGTCATGTACTTTTCGCCATCCTTCTCCACTGATGCATACTGCAACCACAGATCCGAGTTGTTCAGTGCCTATCAGGTCAGTGAATGCGTACTGCAACCACAGATCCCATTTGTTCAGTGCCTATCAGGTCATTGATGTTTGATGCATCATTCAAACATTTGATGCATGAAAGAGTGCTATTAATAAACCCCAAATCAGTTGCAGCAAGTGTCAGAAGGTTTTTGGTACGAAGAAAATTACAGCAAAATAATCAAGATGATACAGAAGTGTGGACTTGTGTGAACAAAACTTCTTCTGAAGCAATACAGCACTACAAATTAAACAAAAATGCATAAAGCTTTATTAAATACCTGCAGAAAAATTGTGTGCAGCTTGTCTGTGCTGGCACGTTTGAGCCGACCATAATCCTGGAAATGTTGGATGCACAGTTACCAAGAGACATATTTTGATGACAAGATAATGACAAACCTGTGAAACAGTGTCATTTAAGCCAACTTCATCAGAATAGTGACATAAGAAACACAATAACAAAGCATAACAGGGACAGCTGAAAATTGTAATATACCTTGCAACAATGGATGCATTTCAAAGAGTGATATGATGGATTTTCCTCCAGCATATTGAAGACATAACTCACCTCCCCTTGGCAAGCTGCATGTGTGATGGTGCCAGACAGGACAGCTTTAAATAAGAAATCCATCTGAAACCAAATCTGGTGTAGAAATTTGCTTATGCATGCTGAATATGCTACAATATATCCATTAGCATGTGACCCTTTAATGCTCATATTGGTATTTCATTTATGCTAATGTTACCATTGGTAAGGTAACAAATGTTGGCACTCTGGTGCAAACTAAAGTCACTGAGAAATGTTATGCAGCAGGGGTCAAACCCAAACTTTTTTACCACAAATGCCAGACAGTTTGATGATCTTAATGAACATCACTTCTACCCGTAATAACCAACTTATTACCTTTGATAAATACATCATCAGAACCTGTTTTTGCAGCCAATTGTTAACTGAACAAGATGGCATGCACAACACCTATATACATCATGCAAACCTTCTATATCAGAAACTTTTGGGCCCATAAAAAATTATGAGCACATTCCATTTAAATCTACACCAGCACTCCACTCCCTAGCAATGCAACTGATAGAAAACATTAAGAGCTAAGAAGATTACCTAAGCAGGGTGGTAATTTTTTACTTTGGTACCTGTATGGCCGACGGAGGGAAGAGCTACGCTAGCTGCAGGGTTTCGAGTATTGTCGTCCGGGGGAAAAGCTGTGAGGCATCGGCTGACATTGTGACGTCACTGAAAATGGTTTTGCATCGATCGGGATGGGGGTCCTTCCGGGCCGACTGAAGGCCATAAGGCTTTTGAATGTGACATGTCACTGGTATTCGGCTGGGTATGTGACGTCACGGGTCGTGAGTTTGCAAGGCTCTTTTGGGTCCACCGAATGCCGTAATGCATCAGCTGGCCATGTGTCGTCACTGTTATTCGATTAAACATCAGGCGCGACCGGCCTCGTTCCATCTTTACTTTTCGTACCTGACTGCTGCAAGCATTTGCGTGCCGCATAAAGGTTTGACCGAATCACCTCAATGTGTGACGTCCCTAATCATCACTTCATACGGGTGCACTTAGGCCCCACGACCACGGTGTGTCATGGTCTACGAAGTATCACCGGATAGCGTGACGCCACTGGTATTCGAAATAAATACTGAGCGCAACAGGCCGTGCTTTATTTTTACCTTTGTATCTGACTACTGCAAGCATTGGCGTGGCTGGATGAAAGCTGCCGAACCACCTGAGTGTGTGACGCCACTGGTCACGAGTTTCACCGGTGCTTTTCGGCCAACTGAAGACCACAAGGTGTCAGCTAACGACGTCACTGCTATACGACCGATTGTAAGACGTCAATGGTCGTGGGTTTCCACGTGTCCTCTAGGACCGACGAAATGCCGTACGGCATCAGCTGGCGATATGACGTCACTGGTATTTGCTGAACATCAGCCCAACAGGTCATGCTCCATTTATACCTTTCGTACATGTCTGCTGCAAGTATTGGCGGATTTTTTTGCGGCCAACTGAAGGCCATAAAGCATCAGCTAGCGATGTGACGTCACTGGCATTCGACCGTGCGTGTCGCTGGTCATGAGATTTTACGGCCTCTTTTGGGCCGACGAAAGGTCATACGGCACTGACTGACGATGTGACGTCACTGGTATTCGAATGAACTTCGGGCCGCGACAGGCCATGTTCCACCTTTATCTTTGGTACCTGTCCATTGCAAGCATTGCCGTGGAAGGCTCTGCCAAATTACCTGAGTGTGTACGTCACTGACCATTAATTTGTATACTCTTCTGAACCTACTATAGGCCACAAAGCATCAGCTGACGATATGATGACACTAGGTCTCGACTAGACATCATGCGCAACAGGCCATGCTCTATCTAAGCCATGTTTCGTCTGTACCTTTCGCACCTATCTACTGCAAGTATTCGCGCGACACATAGGGGCTCTGCAAGAATTACCTGAGCGTGTGGTGTAACTAGTCATGAGTTTACGCGGGTTTACTCTGGCTGACCGAAGGACATCAAGCATCAGCTGACGATATGACGTCACTGGTATTCGACTATACTCCAGGCGCGACAGGCCATGTTCCATCTCTACCTTTCGTACCTGTCTCTTGGAAGTATTGGCGTGCTGAATGAAGGCTCTGTCGAGTCTCCTGAGTAAGTAACGTCACTGGTCAAGAGCTTTTTACGGGACCTTTTGTACCCCCAAACGGTATAATGTATCAGCTGACGATATGACGTCACTGATGTCCGACTTAACACCAGGCGCGACAGGCCATGTTCTATCTTTACCTTTCGTACCCGTCTATTACAAGTACTGACGTGCTGAATGAAGGCTCTGTCGAGTCTCCTGGGTGTGTAACGTTACTGGTCATGAGTTTGTTTCTGGCTCCTTGGAACCCTCTATAGGGAAAATGCATCAGTTGACGACGTGATGCCAATGGTGTTTGACTTAACATGAGGCGTAACAGGTCATGTTCCATCTTTGCCTTCGTACCTGTAAAGTATTGGTGCGTTAAATGATGGCTCTGCCGAGTCACTTGAGTGTGCGACGTCACTGGTCATGAATTTTTACGACTATTTTTGGCTGAGCGAAAGCCATAAGGCATCAGCTAACGAAATGACTTCACTGGTAGTCCCACTGAGTGTGTGACGTCACTGGTCATGAGCTTTTACGGGCCTTTTTTGGCCGAGTTCAGGCCATTAGGCATCAGATAACGTTATGGCGTCACTTGTATTCGAATTAACATCAATTGCAATAAGCCATGTTTCATCTTTACCTTTCGCATCTGCCTACTGCAGGTATTCGTGCGCTACAAAAAGGCTCTGTCGATTCGCCTGAGCGTGTGGTGTAACTGGTCATGAGTTTGTGCAGGTTTACTCGGGCTGACTGAAGGACATCAAGCATCAGCTGACGATATGACGTCACTGGTAATCGACTAAACTCCAGACGAATCATCTGAGTGGGTGACGTCGCTGGTCATGAGTTTATACGGATTCACTTGGGCCGCCCAAGGCCACAAAGCAACACCTCCCGTGAAGCATCACAGGATGATATGTCGTCACTGTTATTCGACTTAACATCAGGTCCAACATGCCACGTACTTTCTTTACCTTTCGTACCTGTCTATTAAAGGTATTGACGTGCTGAATAAAGGCTCCGTCGAATCTCCTGAGTTTGTGACGTCACTGGTCACGAGTTTTTATGGGCTCTTTTGAACCCATTATAGGTTGTAATGCATCGGCTGACGGCATGACGTTACTGGTGCTCGACTAAACATCAGGCGCAACAGGTCATGTTCCATATTTGCCTTTCGTACCTGGCTGCTGCAAATATTCGCGTGCTATATGAAGGCTCCGCCGAATCACCTGAGTACGTGACGTCACTGATCATCAGTTGGTAGGAGGTCACTTGGCCACCTATGGCTACGAAATTCCGCAGCAGAGGCGGGAGATGCACCATAGTTAAGCACACTAATTTTATTGTGCGCACCATTAAGTAGCAGCTTCAAACGCAACGGGCTGTTTTCAACGACTAAAATTTTGAACAAACGTAAACACAAAACAAAGGTGATCCCAGCCCACAACCGACGTATATGCAAGCTGTTCCGCCCGACTTCACAGGATGCGCCCCTGAGCAGCTACGGTCCGGAATGCCCTGATGGCTAAATAATAAAGGGCGCCGCCTAGCGTCATAAGTCTGGGCCACAGACCGAATATCAGTGACGTCATATGGTCAGATGATGCTTGATGTCCTTCCGTCAGTCCGAGTAAGCCCGCGTAAACTCATGACCAGTTACACCACATGCTCAGGTGATTCGGCAGAGCCTTTATGTAGCGCGCGAATACTTGCAGTATAGAGGTGCGAAAGGCAAAAGATGGAACATGGCCTGTTGCGCCTGAGATTAAGTCAAACACCAGTGACGTCATATCGTCAACTGATGTCTTGTACCCTATAGGTACAAAAAAGCGGCCCATAAAGGACTCATGACCAGTGACATTACACACTCAGGAGATTTCACAGAGCTTTCCTTACGCATGTCAATGCTTACAATAGACAGGTACGAAAGATAAAGACGAACATGGCCTGTCGCGCCTGGTGTTAAGTTGAATACCAGTGACGTCACATCGCCAGATGATGCTTGATGTCCTTCAGTCAGCCCGAGTAAACCCGCGTAAACTCATAACCAGTCACACCACACGCTCAGGTGATTGGGCAGAGCCTTTATGTGGCGCGCGAATACTTGCAGTAGATAGGTGCTGAAGGTAAAGATGAAACTTGACATATTGTACCTGATGCTTAATTGAATACCAATGACGCCATATCGTTGCCTGATGCCTAATGGCCTTAAGTCGGCCGAAAAAGGCCCGGGAAAACTCATGACCAATGGCGTCACACACTTAGTGGATTACCAGTGACGACACATCATTAGATGATGCCTTATGGCTTTCACTCGGCCAACAATAGCCTGTAAAAACTCATGACGACGCACTCAGGTGATTCGACAGAGCCATCATTAGGCTCGCCGATACTTTAACAGGTGCGAAAGGCAAAGATGGAACATGACATGTTGTGCCTGATGTTAAGTCGAACACCAGTGACATCATATCGTCAGCTGAAGCATTATACCATATAGGGGGTTGAAAGAGCCCGTAAGAGCTCTTGACCATTGACGTCATATAACACGCGAATGCTTGCAGTAGGCAGGTACGAAAGGTAAAGATGGAACATGGCCTGTTGCGCTTGATGTTGAGTCGAATACCAGTGACGTCATATCATCCCGCGATGCTTCACAGGATATGATGCTTTGTTGCATTGGGGTGCCCAAGTGAGCCTGTATGAACTCATGACCAGCGACGTCACGCACTCAGATGGTTCGGCACCACCTCGATATAGCGCGCGAATGCTTGCAGTGAACAGGTACGAAAGGCAAAGATAGAGCATGGCCTGTTGCGCATGACATCTAGACGAAAACCGGTGACGTCATATGGTCAGCTGATGTGGTGTGGCTTACGGTAGGTTCAAAGTAGTCTATATAAATTAATGGTTAGTGACGTTACACACACTCAGGTAGTTCGGCAGAGCCTTCCTTCAGCATTCAAATGCTTGCAATGGACAGGTACCAAAGGTAAGATGAAGCATGGCCTGTCCCGCCTGAATTTTATTCGGATACCAGTGACGTTACATCTTCAGTTAATGTCGTATGACCTTTCGTCGGCCCAAAAGAGGCCGTAAAATCTGATCACAAGTGACATCACACACAGTCGAATGCCAGTGACGTCACATCATTAGGTCATGCTTTACGGCTCTCAGTTGGCCCCCAAAGATCCATAAAAATGCATGACCAGTGACGTCACACACTCACGTGATTTGGTAGCTTTATTCATCACGCCAGTGCTTGCGGTAGACAGGTACGAAGGTAAAAATGAAGCATGACCTGTTGCGACCAACATTTAGTCGAATATCAGTGACGTCACGATACCTGGTGATATTTCACGGAACATGATACACCGCGGCCGTGGGGCCTAAGTGCACTCGTATCAAGTGATGATTAGTGACGTCACGCATTCAGGTGATTCGGTCAAGCTTTTATTCGACACGCAAATGCTTGCAGCAGACAGGTACGAAAGGTAAAGATGGAATAAGGCCTGTGCGCCTGATGTTTCATTGAATGCCAGCGACGACATATCGTCAGGTGATGCTTTACGGCATTCATTACACCCAAAAGATCCCTAAAGCCTCACAACCAGTGACGTCACACATCCAGTCGAATACCAGTGACATCATATCGCTAGCAAATGCCTTGTAGCCTTCAGTTGGCCCAAAAGAACTCCGATCGATGGAAACCCATTTTCAGTGACGTCACTACGTCGGCTGATACCTGACAGCATTTCTCCATCACGGCAGTACAGGAACCCTGCAGCCAGCGTAGCTCTCCCCACGTCGGCAATACAGGTACCCAAGTAAAAAAAAGCCGCAGGGGTTTGGGTAGCATAACAGTATGCTGAAATGTAGTTGTAAACTTTGCTGTCCTCTCAAGTTGCATTTTAACAGCAAAACCAGAGGGAGCAGGGCCTGGCCTGCTATAACCAGTACATAACCAATGCGGACAGGTGGGGAGAGGCATAGTAAAATAACCAGGCGGAATAATTAATGGACCAATTTGGACCAATTGCATAGCTAACTTTAATCTGGGTATCTGTTAACTATCCCCAAATGTATGACTAGCCCTGATATCAATTTCATGCCGAGGAAATGCCCTTTAAGGCGTCATGTCTAGTGGCATGCAAGCACTTCCACTAACCCTGCGGACAGGTACGCATCTAAATAAACCAGAAAAACCTTCCATCGACAGTGCATACAGCACCTTTCCCCTACTCAAGCCACAGGCCGGACAAGAGTATTGAAGTCTATTGAGAGGTATCGTAAGCCATGAAATAAAAAATGGGCGAATTAATAGACGAATTTACCCCTGACATTGACGTATCCTTCACGTTTGCTGCCATGGCGGGAGCCATACTATATTCAAGAGCTTTTGGTAACTTTCAAAATGCCTAATTGCGGTCAGGTAACGCAAAAAAGCCAAAAAAGGTTCTGGAAATTTTTTATAGCAGTGCTATCATGCAAATTTTGTGTATAAGTTCTATTCAAAACTTCCTGGTCCATTGTAAAATGCGTATATACCTTCGCAATATCTTGTCTGGAGAAATGCTCTTGATTTGGGAGCGTGAAATCGAATGCTGCCAATTTTACATCACATGCCACCTCGAGAGCTTTTCCTTTACCGCTAAAAATGTTGAAGTGTCCGTGAGCGGGATGGAAAAGTCTCGTGTGCGTGACGGCGCCACCAACCAGAGATTGGGAATGGGAGGACGGGTGAGAATTTGGAGAATCGGAGGGTGGCAGACTTATTTTTCCATGCATCATCATAAACGCACTATTCTGTTGTTATTCATGAGGCTTGGGAACTATATTCAAGTTGCGGGCTCCAAAATGCCAAAACGGATCCCTACGATTACATAGTAGGCCCCCCACAACCCGTAATGGGCCCTTCACAGTCAATAATTAGGTCTCTACAGGTTAGAATGCGCTCCATGGAGCTAGAATGGGCAGTCGGTAGGACAAAATAGTCCCTCTTTTGGTTAAAACGGTCCCACTTCAGGTCAGCATGGGATTTCCACGTGTCAGAATGGATCCTCTTTAGACCAGAACTGTCTCTTTACAGGCCAGAATAGACCCTATGAAGACCTGAATAAGCCCATCTATAGAAGCCCAGCATGGCCCCTCATAGTCGATAGCATGCCCTCTAAATGTCAGAACGAGCCATCCACGGCCAGAATGGGATTTAAGCGGCCATGCATAGGTCCTCAAAAGATCAGAATTGTTTCGTTTCAGCCCAGAATGGGCCATTCGCAGTCAATAATAAAGCCTCTTTTGCTCAAAAGGGACCGTCACAGGAAAGAGTAGGGCATCCACTGCCGATAATGACTACTCTACAGGCTAAAATGGGCATACTTCCGTTTGTAACGGGCCTTTTTGAAACCTGAATGGGCGCCCGCACAAAATGGACTCTACACCGTTAATAGTAGGCCTTCTGCAGGTCAGAATGAGACCTCTCCGAGCCGGAATGGGCCGTTACAGCTCAAAATTGGCCCTCCAGTTAACAATGGTCTCTCTACAGGTCAGAATGATGGAAGCCACAGCCAATAACGGGTCATCTGCGAGCCTACATGGGGCTCTTTTCAAAATGTCATTTCTGTAAATGGGATTCTGTAATATGTAAATGGTCAGAATGAGCCATTTACATGCCAGCATGGGCCCTCGAAGATGTCCGTGAAGCTAGGGATTTATGCAGCGATTTATTCAGCGACGAGTTCTGATCCTCTGAAGAAGGTCGTAAGGTCAATTATGGCACGAGAACATCGAAAAGGGCCTCTATTTTACAATATCATGTGCCTTTCGACGTCAAAACCTGGGCCAAGTAACGGGGAACTCCAAATCACCCAAAAGTTTCGGGCCGATTTGAGAACTGTAAGCATCAAAATTTTCACAAGCAAAAGAGCTAGCGTCCGTCAAAAAGTCCTGACCTCTCAGATTAATCTTTCAAGGTCGAACGCGAACTCAAAGAACGGAGAATTCAACATCACCCAAAAATTTTCGGCCGATTTTGAACTTGCAAATGTCAAAATATTCACGACGGAAAGAACTAGAGTCAATCAAAAAGTTCTCACCTCTCAAGGTCACCCTTCAAGGTAAAACTCGTGCTCAAAGAACGGGAAAGATAACATCACCCAAAAATTCCCGGCCGATTTCAAGCTTGCACGCACCAGAATATCTCCAACAAAGGGAACTAGCGTCTATCTAAAAGTCCTGGCCTCTCAAGGTTATTCCTCAAGGTCAAACGCGGGTTCAAAGGACGGAAAAATTCAAGATCATAAAAACTGTCCATTTCAAACCTGCAAGTGTCAGAATATTCACCACAGAAAGGACACGCGTCAATCAAGAAGTCCTGCCCTTTCAAGCTCATCCTTCAAGATCAAAGGCGGGTTCAAAGGACGAGGCACTCGATATCACCCAAAAATTACCGGCCGATTTTAAGCTTGCAAACATCAGAATATTCACAATAGAAAGAATCGGCGTTTGTCAAAAAGCCCTGGCCTCCCAGGGTCACCCTTTCAAAGTCAAACATGGGCTCAAAGAATGGGGAACTCGATATCACCACTTGCCGGCCAATTTGAAAACAGTACTACCATCAAAACATCCACAAGTGCAAAAACTAACATCCGTCAAAATGTCCTGACTTTTCAAGGTGACCTTTTAAGGTGAAACATGGGCTCAAAAGAAGGGAGAACTCAATACCACCCAAACATTACCTGCCGATTTTAAACTTTCAGGGGTTAGAATATTCACCACAAAAAAATGTAGCGTCCATCCAAATGTGCTGACATCCCAAGGTCACCCACCAAGGTTAAACGTGGGCTCAAACGAAGGGTTGCTCCATGTCACCAAAACTTTGTTGGCCGATATTTAACTGGCAAATGGTAGAATATTCACAATAGAAAGAACTACCGTCCGCCAAAAAGTCCTGATCTCTCAAAGTCATCCTCCACGGTCAAATATGAGCTCAAAGGACAGCGAACTCCATATCACTCAAAAATTACTGGCCAACTTTAAGCATGCAAGCATCAGAACATTCAACACAGAAAGACCTGGCGTACATAAAAAAGTTTTGACCCCTCAAGGTCACCCTTCAAGGTCTAACGCGGACTCAGAGGACGGGGACCTCCATACTCCAACTCCAAACTACCGGTCATTTTAAACTTGCAAATATCAGAATACCCAGCACAGAGAAACCCAGCCTCCATTTAAAGGGCCTGGTTTTTCAAGGTCACCCTTCAAAGTCAAACGCGCGTTAAAAAAAAAACGGGAGAACAATATCACCCCAAAATTACCGGCCGATTTTAAACATGAAAGCACCAAAATATGCACATGTTTAAGAGCTAGCATCCGTCAAAACGTCCTGACCTCTGAAGTTCATCCTTCAAGGTCAAACGCAGGCTCAAACGACGGGGAAATGGATATCACCCATAAACATTTCGGCCGATTTTTTACTTGCAGATATCGGAATATTTCAAACAGAAGGAACTAGCGCCCGTTAAAGTGTCCTCGATTCTCAAAGTCACCCTTCAAGGTCAAAGACCGGCTCCGAGGACGTGGAAATTCATATTGCTCCAAAATTGCCAACCGATTTTAAGCTTCCAAGAATCAGAATATGCACCACAGGAAAAACTAACGTCTGTCAAACTAGTTTCCGATTATTGAGCCCGCGTTTGATCTTGAGGAGTGACCTTAAGAGATCTTAATTTTAATAGCCCTAGCTTTTTTCTGCGTTGAATATTCTGATATGTAGAAGTTTTAAATCACCCGGTAACGTTTGAATGATGTGGAGTTTCTCGTCCTTTAAGCCGAAATTTACCTTGGAGGATGACCTTGAGAATTCAGGACTCGCGGACGCTAGTTCTTTCTGTGATGAATATTTTGGCATTTGCAAGTTGAAGATCGACCGGTAGTTTTGGGTGATGTTGAGTTCTCCGTCCTTCGAGCCCGTGTTTGACCTTGAGGGGTGATCTTGAAAGGTCAGGACACTTTGACAGACGCTAGCTCTTGCGCTGGCGAATGTTCTGAAGCTTCCAGTTTTCAAATCTACGCGTAATTTATTGCGTCATATTAAGTTCCCCGTCCCCTGAGCTCACGTTTGTTCTTTAAGAGTGATCTTGAGAATCAGGTCTTTTTGGCGGACGCTAGTTCTTTTTTATGGTGAATACTCAGACGTTTGGAAGTTTAAGACCGGCCGAAAATTGTTGGGTGATATTGAGTTTCCCGTCCTTCGAGCCCGCGTCTGCCCTTGAAAGCTCATCTTGAGAGGCCAGGACATTTTGACGTACGCTACCTTCTGCGTTTGTGAATGTTTTAATGCTTGCAGTTTTCAAATTGACCGACAGTTTTTGGGTGACATTGAGTTCTGCGTCGTTTGAGCCCACGTTCGACCATAAAGGGTGAGCTTGAGAGGTCAAGTCTCTTTGACGGACGTTGGTTTTTTTGGTGCTGAGCATCCTGATACTTAAAAGTTTAAAACCGGCCGGTAATTTTTGGGTGATATTGATTTCCCGTCCTTTGATCCCACGCTTGACCTTAAAGGGTGACCTTGAGAAGTCAGGACATTTTGTCGGACGCTGGTTGTTTCTGAGATGAACATTGTGACGTTTGCATGTCGGCCGGTAATTTTTGGTGATATTAGGTTTCCTGTCGTTTGGGCCCTGGTGAGAGGTCCTGTCCTGTAGGTGAGAGGTCAAGACTTTTTAACGGACGCTAGTTCTGTCTGTGGTGCATATTCTAATGTTTGCAAGCTTAAAATCGGCCGGTAATTTTTGAGCCATAGTGAGTTCCACGTCCCTTGAGCCCGCGTTTGACCCTGAAGGGTAATCTTGAGAGGTCAGGACTGTTTGGCGGACGCTAGTTGTTTATGGTAAATATTCTGATATTGGAAGGTTAAAGTTGGCCGGTAATGTTTGGGTTATATTGAGTTCCCCATCCTTCAAGCCCGCGTTTAACCTTGAAGGATGATTTTGAGGGTCAGGACTTTTGGCGGATGCTAGATCTTTATGTGATGGATGTTCTTGTGTTTGTAAGTTTAAAATCGGCCGGCAATTTTTTGGCGATATTAAGTTCCCCGTCCTTTGATCCGCGTCTGAATTTGAAGGGTGACCTTGAGAAGTCAGGTCTTCTTGAGAGACGTTAGCTATTGCGCTTGTAAATATTTTGATGCTTACCGCTTTCCGGCAATTTTTCAGTGATATCGTGTTGCCCGT